TTGTCTCACCACAGGAGAAACTGTCTCATAATTGGTCTGAAATGACTAAAACAGGGTGACTGCCATTTGTCTCCTTGTATGAGAATATCATTGAGTTAGCAGGAATGGATTGAAACATTGCACGTGTCCAGGCACTCGAGTAAGTTTCATTATACCTTGCTGCACTGCTCCCTCACTGAAGACTCTCCTAACGTTCTCACACTTTTAGCCCTTGTCCAAAATTCAATTAATCTCACCTCGTCCCCGCCTACCAGACTGTATGACATCCACGCTACCTCTACTTTTAAAAAGTCAATCCCTTACCTCATCAGCACAACCACTTTTGTGGAAGAAGCCACAGATCTTTCAGAGGATGTTCTGGTAAGCTCCCTCCTGCACCCTTCCATGGCTCAGATATTGACATGCCAATGGGTACTTCATTTCTGCTGAACACATTCCCCACAACTAGTTGAGGAAGAATGCATTGGCAGAGGGCTGCTAGAGAACAGGTGCCTGTTCAGTCCTGAGCAAAAGGTGACCTTATGGTGTTGGCCATTAATGAATGCAGCCAAATGCAAAGACCGGCAAACAGCAGGCAGGTTTTTCAGAGACACGCAGGGATGGGGGTTTGCTAAATTTATGCAATTGCCCTTTGAAGGGTCTCACATTGCCCACAAGTAGACTATACATCCACAGACAAAACAACCTACCCAAGGACAATGTACAGGCAGTCATTTCTCATCCTTATTGTGCAGTTGAGATTTGGCAGTATATGGAATGGTATCGAAGTTGTGCTCCCAGAAGAGATCCAGGCTCCACCTGAAAGTCACACGTATTCCCCCCACCTCTTATGTAACTGACTATATCAATTTCAGGAGCTTCAACCTCCCCTGTTCTCATCCAATCCCTTTATTCAATAATTAATTTCCCTTATTTTCCCCTCAGCCATAGTCTACCACATTACCATGGCCACTATTGCAATTCACTATCTCCTAAAGAAGCCAGGGTGGTAATGGTGGTTTGTGAAAAGATCCCAACAGTATCCTGTGCCCTCCCATACAATATTGGATCCCACTCATATTTGGAGTTGTTCCACTTCACAGTTATCATCTTCCACCCTCTGCACCCCAGCATAACAACTCCAATTCCCGCACATTCCTCAACATGGCACAGACTGACCTCTGATAATCTTCCCTCCCCGATCTTGATCTCTACAGCCTTAGACTTACTTGTTAGTATAGTGCTGGAAGATGACTCAGCCTGAGTGACTTATCAATACTCTCCGAAATGATTGAACCTTACCTTGCAGACTGACTGTGGTCCAGTCTGGAAGAACACTGGGAAGATCCCTCGATCCTGATTCCATCACACCCAGTCAAGTGTGGCCAGTCACCTGGGCTGGCAAGAAAATGCCTTAAGGGACCATGCACTTCCCTTTGTTGGATAATAAAATGGAAATTGGACTGCTATGTGGCTTTACTAACAATGCATCCAAGCACTTTTTGGCAAAGAATCACAAAATGAAGAAATGTCTTATTTCAATCCTTAACTGGCTAATCGCTTATTCTAAGGCTCTGTCCTGAAGTTCTGGAATTCCTGAACCAGGGGGAAAAAAATCCTTTAAAAACATACGAACGTACAACTTAGAGGCAAGAATAGGTATATTTGTTCTAACAACCAATGAGATCATGGTTGAACTGATTACTCCACACTCCCACCTGCACCTGGTAACCTTCCCTGCCCGCCTTGTTTATCAAGAATCTATCTTTGCCTCAAACATGTTCAAAGATGCTACTTCCAGTGTATTTTGAGAGAGAATTCCAAAGATTCAAGATATATGTCTTAATGGGTTATTCTTTACTTTTAAATAGTGACCACAAGTTCTACATCCTCCCGTAGAGGAAATACCCTTTCCACATCTATTCTGCAAGAACCCTCAGGATCTTATATACTTCGATCAAGTTACCTTCTTATTCACAAACTCCAAGGGATACATGTCTAGCCTATCCAACATTCAAACACAAATCAACCAGCCTTATTCCAGTCTAGTAAAACTTCTCTGAACTGCTTCAACCATATTTATAGCCTTCCTTAAGGAGATCAACACTCTACACAGCACTTCAGATATGTCCTCACCAATGCCTTGTATAATGAAAGTACAACCTTCCTACTTTTAAATTCCCTTCACTCTAAACAACATTCTATTAGCTTTCCTAATTAACTTGCTGTACCTAGCCTTTTGTGATGCATGCACCAAAACACCTGGATTCCTCTGAAGAACATTGAGATAATCCCTCAGCAATTAGGTAACATACTCCATTTTCATTCTTCCTATCAAAAAGGATTTCATATTTTTGCCACATTCTATCTCATTTTCCACATCTTTGACAACTCTCTTAAGCTAGTTATATTGCTTTGTAGGCTCCTTACGTCCTCTTCACAACTTTCTTCACTACCTATCTTTTTTGTTCTCAGCAAAATAGCAACCATACTATTAATACCTTCATCCAAATCATTAATAAATTGAGGCCCTGGCACAAATTTCTGTGGCACACCATTCATTCCATCTTGAGAACCAGAAAATGATCCATTCATGCCTGTTTCCCATTAACTAGTTAATTTTATACTCATGCCAATGTTGGCCCCTACATCATGAGCTCCTATTTTCCACAATGACCATTGATACAGTACTATATCAAATGCCTTACCAACAAAAAAATACAAATAAAATGAAACTCAGCAGGTCTGGCCGCATTTATGGACAGAAACAGAGTTAATGCTTCAAGACCAGTATGATTTCTTTAGCAGGACTTGGTTTATTGCACTAATTTTAATCCTTTTAGAAAAAATCTATATAAACTCTTAATTTTATTTCCAGCTAGCTTTGTCTTGATTCTAATTTTTGACTCCTTATTCATCTTAACATTATTCTTTGCTGTTCTTTATGCTCTGTCCAATCTTTGATCTTTCATCCATCTTTATGTAATTACATGCTTTTTCTTGAAGTTTTATATTATCTTTAGCTTTTTTCAGTTAACCATTCTGTATATTCTTAAATGTCCCCATAAATGAATACCACTGCACCTCAAGTAACATCTCTCTTAATCTAACTTGCCAGTTTACTTTAGCTAGTTTTGCTTTCTGGCCATCAAAATTCCCCTCATTCAAACTTAAAGTGCTAGTCTTGGGGTCCATCCTTTCTCCCTCAAACAGATTGTAAAATTCAATCATATGATTAAAACTACCCAGAAGTGCCTTCAGTGCAACATAGCTAATTAATCCTATGCCATTGCACAAAACTAGATCTAATATGTCCCAGAAGATGCTATCCTAAGAAACTACCTAAAATATTCCCCAATCTTCTTTTGCACAATTTACTTTTCCAGTATTTTGCAGATTACAATCACTGTATTGCCATATCTTTTTGCAAATTCTTATTACATCTTCATTTATCCTCCATCCTACCATGTGGTTATTCTTAGTAAGCCTGTACAATACTCCCACAAATGACTTCTTGCTTATGTATTTCTAAAAACTGTTTTGACATTCTATTTTCCTAAACTTCGGTCATCCTTTTGGGCTAATTAATAATGCTATTTGCAGATCCACCCTGCCACCTTTTCTTAGCTAACTGTCCTTGCTAAGACTCACTCTTCAATATTCAGATCTCAATCTTTGTAATGGCTGTCAGATTGTAACTACTGGGGAGCCTGATTTACAAATGTCCAACCTACAAGCACTCATACTCATGAAGGTGATCTCATATAGCAGTGTATTAATAGTGATTTTAATGCTCCAACATTTGAAAGTTTCCTCATATTTATGAGCAGCTATTTTATATCATCCTGCATTGTATTCTGACTTGTGTAGAAATTGACATGTGAATGGTGACAAAAATGGAACCACTTATATTTATCTCTACCTGCACTATCTGTTCACCTATTCTAAGTGAGATCTACATTCCGATATACAGCCTTTAATTTTGTCCTCATTACTTTTGTAACCTTAGTTTGATTTAGTTTTGTACTTTCTATCCCTTCCTGTCAGTGTCAACCGACTTCTATTTTAATAACTTGCTCCCTTAACCGGTCTCTATTTTTTGATTTACTGTATCTTCCTAAATTTGATCCCTTGCTCCTACTATTCAGTCTAGAACCACCTCTAATTACGTGACTCATTGGAGTACTGGTCACAGCATAACTTAGATAAATACCATCCCAAAGGTGTAAATTCTACTCTCCCAACTATCAGCAACAGTGCTCTACAAACCAGAATCTAGTTCTACCACAGCAGTCTTTGAGCCACAATGTCCTGTCAATTTGCTTAAAGCTCAGCTGATAATCTGTAGACTATTACCTTTTGTTCCCAGCTCCACATACTGCACATTCAAAGTCTCTTTCCTCGTCCTACCTATGTCATTGGCACTTATGCAGACCACAATATAACTCAAACCCTCTGTTTTGTCAAAAATAGGCTGAGACTTTTTTCACTGAAGTGTGGAAGGTTCAGGGTAACCTGATGGCAGTTGAGAGAGTCATGCAGGCATAGATAAGTGAACGTCAAACTTTTTTGTAAAAGTGGGGGAGTTCAAAACGAGGAGGCAGTTGGAGTTTCTTTTTTCTTTTTTTAATAGTGAGATTATATTTACTGAAACAATTGCAGTTTTGTTTCCACATCCACTCCTCTTTTAAAAGCATAGGCCAATAAACCCAATCTTTTACCCTGGCTATATGCCTTAGCTTTGAAGGCTGGATTAATATCCCTATTGCAGTATTGATGTTTTTCATCATTCATGAATTATACAGCCAATTAGTGCCCAGCCACTAGCAATGTTATGCTGTGACCAGGAACTATATTGAGAGTACCTATTTCAGAGTAAGTTTACATCTAGTATGTTCCTGTGATTATTTAGCTTGTAGCTAAAATATATAGTTGGCCAAATGTCAAAAGAATTTAAAGTTATGAAACAGTACAGTCTGACAGCATCTATAAAGAAGATAGTTTATTCAAAACCAGTACATTTGCATTTACAAACCTTTTAGAAGTACTAATGTTGGGAACACCAACAATGCATACCTCTACTTTAAATAGAATATTCAGTCCTCAACAATATGTACTCTAAATGTAGTGGAAAAAAACTTCAATTTTCATTTGCTATTCCTATGCCGTTTATGAGGCAAAACCTGTTTGTTTTGTAAATCATCCTCAACCTGAGCTTCAACTTTGTCACTGCCATTGTTTTGTGTAGGGACAGTCAGTCTGAAAGAAGAACAAGTGTCTTCATTTGAATTTCCCATATTAGTTTCATTTGTGCGCCTTCGTTTGGACTGCGAGACAATAGACGAACTTGGATTTGGCAAAGCAACGATAGTCTCAAATTCACATTCAAGAGGTATTTCATCATTTTGCTGCAAAGATGTAGAGTCATTAGAACTGACAGCTTGTACCTTTTCACATGAGTCCTTGTTATTTTCACAGCTCCCATTAACAAAACCTTCACAAGGCACTTGACTATTTATCATTGCAAGTTCTTCATCTGCAACCCAATTATCAACAATCTTGGAAACTTTGCTCCTAAATTCACCATTTTGTGACAATAAAGCAAGGTTTATAGTATTGACAATTTGCGATTTTTGAACCTTTCCTCGGTCCCTTTGATTGCTCTCATTAGCGCAACCTTCAAAAAGTGCCTGTGTATTTATCATTGCAAGTTCCTCATCTGTAACCCAGTTGTCTTCAGCTACCTTTGAAGTTTGAGACCCGAGATTAATATCAAGGTGACTTTTAACAGTGTCAGATAAAAAGGTAATACCCTTTGGAATGATAATTTGTCCCTTAGTAACCTTTCCTTCCTCATTTTCACTGTGCCCATTTTCCCAACCTTCACGAAGTGCCTGAGTGTTTATCATTGCAAGTTCTTCATCCGTGACCCAATTATCATCTGCTATTTTGGAAACTGCAGCTCTCTTCAAAGAGGAAAGTTTATTAGTTCCAGTTTGAATTGTTTCTTCATGGCTTTGAGGGGTAATACATCTCCTGGGTGGTTTAAATCCTTTCTGTACAGCTGGTGAAACAGAATTGCAAAGAGGAGACAAAGGGGCAGGAGAAGGAATCCGAGACAAAAGACTAAGTTTTTTCTTCTTCAAATTTGCAAGCGAATCATCAGATGTTGTTTTTGTACTACACAATGCAGGTCTGGATGCAAGTTCTACTGATGCTGGAAGTATCTGTGGCTTGCTTTCAGAATTAGATGGAGAAAGCTGGAAAGGGGCGTAAAAAGAAAAACATACATTAGCAATGACCAAATCCATGAAACACTGTCCTGTTAACTTTTAAAAAAACTGATCCAACAGAACCTGTGGTTTAAAAAAAAAAAAATCTCTCAACTTGTAACTCTGCAACTATGGTTTCTCGTTCACCATCCACTTCATTCTTCCCTTGGCAGCACCATCCCATCTAGGGTCTAAGTTCTGAAATTTCCTCCTTAACCCTCTCCTCCTTTAAGACACTTCTTAAAAGCTAATCTTTAACCAAGTTTTTTGCGTCAACTCTCCCAATACATCTTTTCTTTGCTCATTGTCAAATTGTACAATTATATTCCTGCAATAAATCATTGAGACATTTTACTATGGTTAATATCACTATATAAAATGCGTATTCTCTATTAATTAAACTATCTCTGGCACTTTTGAACCTTAAAGATTATCCAAAGAAAGAAGAAACATGCAGCTTTCCTGAGATTACTGAAGTCAGTTTTTGTTTCATGCAGAACATTAGGTCGATGCACCTTTAGGAGACAGGACAGCCACTTAAATCGACCATTAGATCTGGTAGCTTTCAGGCCTTGAGCTGGATCTTGCTCCCAAGTGGCAGTTTATTTCAGTTTTCCAAATTACTACATTTCTAAACAAATGCTCTTTTAAGATATTTTGTTTATGACCATGAATAATCAAATTGGATGACAGAGCAAATAAGCCATTCAATTCAATCAATGCTACATTTATGTTTGTTTTGAGCCTCCTGTTTTCACACCTAAATTTACCATTGTAACCCTATTATCCCAACAAATTTTTATACACTAAATGAATGAGATGTGGGCATCGCTGGCTGGGCCAGCGCTGTTGACCATCCTCAGTTAACCTGGAGAAGGTCCTGGTGAGCTGCTGCAGTTATTTGATGTAGGCAGATCCTGCTGGGGAGGGAGCTCCAGAATTTTGACCCAATAACACTGAAGGAACTGCGATGTGTTTCCAAGTCATGATGGTGAATGGCTTGGAGGGGAACTTGTAGGTAGTGGCGTTTCCATTTCATCATAGAATCCCTACAGTGTGGAAACAGGCCATTCAGCCCAGCAAGTCCACACTGCTGCTCCGAAGAGCATCCCACCCAGACCCATTCCCCTACCCTTGCATTTCCCATATCTAACCGACCTAATCTAAACATCCTTGGACACTATGGGCAATTTAGCACCTACCCTGCACATCTTTGGACCGTGAGAGGAAACCACAGCACCCAGAGGAAACCCATGTAGACATGGGGATAACGTGCAAACTCCACACAGACAGTCACAAGGGTGGAATTGAACTCAGGTCCTTGGCACAGGTAGGCAGCAGTGCTAACCACTCAGCCGCCATGCCGCCCCATATATCTGCCCTCCTTCTCCTTCTAGATGCCAGTGGTTGTGAATTTGAAAAGTTCTGTCTAAGGAGCACTGCAGTATACAGTACACACTGCTGCTAGTGATTGTTCGTGGTGTAGGCAGTGAATGTTTGTGTGGTATCAATCAAGCAGGCTGCTTTGTCTTGGATTGTGCCAAACTTCATTCTGGATAATGAATATTGTTAGAGCTGTACTGATCCAGGTAGGTGGGGAGTATTTGATTACGCTCTGACTTGTACTTTGTGGAAGATGGACATGCTATGAGAAATCAGGAAAAGAGTTACTTGCTGCAGAATTCCTAGCCTCTAACTTGCTCTTGCAGTCACAGTACTTATATAACTAATTCAGTATCTGGTCAATGGTAAAACCCAGCATGATGTTTATAGGGGATTGAGGGATGGTAATACCAGATGAATGTCACATAATATTCTCTCTTGTTGGAGATGGTCACTACTTGGCGCTTGTACGGGCAAGTGTTACTTGCCACTTGTCAGCCCAAACTGGAATACTGTTGAGGTTTTGTATTTGGACACATATTCTTCACTATTTGAGAAGTCGTAAATGATGCTGAACATTGTTCACTGATAATTACACATTGCTATTTACAACCATTTGATGGAGCAAAGGTCAATCATGAAGTTGCTGAAGCTGGTTGGGCCTAGGATACTAACCTGGGAAATATCTGCAGATACGTCCTGGAGCTGAGATGACAGATATCCATCAAACACAAACATCTTCCTTAGCACCAGCAATGACTCTAATCAACAGAATGTTTCCCTCTGAATCCTAGTGATTCTAGTTTTGCTATGGTTCCTTGATGCCATATTACAGTATTCACTTCAATGATTGCCAATGATAGCACATTCCATACTGTCATTGCATTTTTGGGCAGAGATATTTCTTCTGAATGCCCTTGCATTTCTTGGTGATTGTCTTATTTGATAGCCTCTTGGTATGCTCCTACTAAAACAGGAAATATGCTCTCTGTATTCATTCTATCAAAATCCTCTATAATTTTAAAGACCTCTATTAGATCATCCATCAGCATTTCTTCCCTCACCAAGAGAAAAGAGACACAATCTGTCAATCCTTTTCTAGTAAATCACCCAATCATGAAATCATTCATAAATTCATGGTGTCCTCTCCAAGGTCTCTATATCCTTTGTTTTACATGGCAACGAGAACTGTACATAGTCCAAGGTTCAACACAGGTCTAGTATTAACCTTCCTCCTTTTCAATTCTACTCTAGGGAAGAAAAGTAGATTTTTAAAAAAAATGGCCTTTTAGTGCATCACACAATGTCAACCAAGTGCTCTGGCATTACAATCTTTTCAAGTGAATTATTAAATATGAGCGTTAATGCCTACCTGCATTACGTGAATTCAATCCACCTAGAACAATAGTTATTGAGTTTGTTTTCAAATTATGACATGGGGACAGCAAGTCAAATCACCCTCCCTATTCCTGTATTTGCAACATAGTAAAATTAAAATGTTCAATGACCCTCAAAATTGCTCCAATGGTTCCTAAACAGACCTTAAGATTAACATATCAGATGCCAGCTTTATAGCAAAAAAAAATTTATTAATACTGCAATTTACGCAGAGCAAAACTAAAACAAGATAATATAATTAACATACTTTTTATATATTCATTCATGGGAAGTGGGTGCCATTGACCAGGCCAACATTTAAATTACCCTAATTGCCCAGAGGGCAGTTAAGAGCCAAACAGATTGCTTTGGGGCTGGAGTCACATGAAGGCCAGCAGTTTCCTTCCCCAAAGGGCATTAGTGAACCAGGTGTGTTTTTATGACAACTAATAATGGTTTCACGATCATCATCAGACTCTTAATTCCAGATTTTTACTAAACTTAAATTCAACTTCTGCCATGGCAGGATTTGAACCCAGGTCCATAGAACACTGCCTCGGTCTCTGGGTTAAAAGTCTAGTGATAACACTACTAGACTATCACCTTCCTAATTACTGTCTATGATTTAAACCCAATCTTTTTTGAAGATAGCCCCCATTCTCACGTAAGCAGCTAGAACAGTTAATATGATGCACAGTTCCACAGGTACATCGGCTTGCATTTTGCTCGAGTTTTTAAGACACCAGTCAATACAAATAGCATTCAGTTGGTTCTGAGGAATATTCACATTTTTATTATAACTGGAATACTATTCTCCTAATTTTTAATAAGACGATAACAAGAGAATAACTAGAAAATAACCATAACCGTGCCAGCAGATTTTGGAGCCACAGCCTCGTCTAAAAAAACCGTTCAAACATTGGTTTTGGATTCTGTTGTTTCCAATTGCCAGATTGGTCAGGACTGGTCTCCCTGTGGTAGCCCCTTTTAACATCCAAACGTTTGCCAGCCTTTCAGCATAACACCTCGCCAGAGCTGAAACATTTACAGTGTTCTTTGAATAGTAACCAAACCACAGTTAACTTCACAGGCTAGGTCCAATAAAGAACCAGTTTAAAAAGAAAACCAGCTGCTGCTAAGATCTCAATTTTAGTTTATTGAAACATGGCACTTTTAAAAAATTCTAAATTCACTCATTATTATGCTGTCATATTTTCCTATCTCTCTAGTGAAAACCAAAGCTAAAGCTTATAATATTTTTGACATCTGTTTCATTACTTATGGTGTTAACCTGCCGATTCCTTCTAACGTACTTCCAGTCACAGCCTTCTTTATTTTCTTGCTATTCCTGTTAAAGCTTCACTATTCATCTCATGTTTCTCAATTGGTTCCATAGTTCCTTGTTGCCTCCTTAATTGTTTTTTGTCTTTTTTCCCCCCTAATCTATTTGTACTCTGTCGCTGATTATGAACTCTTCTACTATCTGAATGCTTCAAGTCTCTTTCATAACCCTAAAATTGTTCAATTCTGCCTTTATTCATCCACAGTGTTCCAAAAGTATTTAATAGAAAATTTTATTTTTTGTGGAATACTTTTCAGTACTCTCTGCTCAAGTTAAAAACATTTCCACCACCATTTCTCTAGTTGTCGTTTGCCAATAGTTGCCTACTTCATTTCACCAAGTTCAATTCTTAGCCTCTCAAAAATAAGCTTTTCCCTAATCTATTTGAAGTAACTCCACAGAGACTGGTGTTCCATCACCAAGTCATCCTTTATTTGCTCATAGAAAGTTCTTGACACTGATCCAGCTCTGGGAAAGAACAGACCCTCTGACACTCCCCGATTGTGGCTGTTAATCTGGTAGAATCAGGGAACTCATTCTATGAGATCCACTTGGCTGACCAATCACTGCAATATTAACTTGTTTTTTTGTTTTCTACCATCTTCTTAAAATGTTTTACATTAGGGTCACTAAAACCTAGGCACTTCTGTACTTTCAGTTCTCTTACCTAACCTGGTGCATTCTTTAGCAGCAAATTCAACAGAGAATCTTTCTTTGTTGAATTTTTCACATATTGGGCTCGAAAAGAATCCTGTAGACATTGTTAGAATTCATCTTTTTATCCTCATTACCTATCACTTTTGTTGAATTAATATCAGGGTAGTTGAGATCTTCTTGATTATTACTGTGTGTTCTGTTTTTTTAAATGGAATCCACTAACTTGTCTACCTCTAACTCGCTTCCAAAAGATGGTCTGTAGACTATGCCTTTGAAGATGTGATGGGATCCTTGATAACCTTTATTTCTATCCATATGAATTTTACTGATGACTGCATATCTTTCTTCTACTCACATGAACAAGGAACAAGAGTAGGTCTGCTCTGCCATTCAATAAAATCTGACTTTAACCCCAGCTCTATGTTCTTGTCTGGATAATCTTACAAACTCTTGGCAATCAAGAAGCTACTTGGACATTAAAAATATTTAAAGATTCTGAATCCACTGCCTTTGAGGAAGAGAACTCCAAAAATTTCCTACCCAGAGTCACTGCTGCTTTAAATAGACACCCCTTTATTTTTAAACTATGACCTGATAAACTATAAACTGATTTTTTTTGACAAGAGGAAACGTTCTTTCAAAATCCGCCTGATCAAGTCCTCTCTTTACGTTTCAATTAAGTCACCCCTGGCTCTTCTAAACTCCAAAAGATACAATCGTAGCCTGTCTAGCCCTTCCTCATAAGGCAATCTGCACATTCCAGTAGACCTTCTCTGAACTGTTATCCCAAATAAGTGCAGCTACTCACCTCCCCGTTTTCCCTCTCTACCTTTTTATAATGTGCTAGACTTGGTAATATTTAATTCCCTGTCTTGAATTTTCTTTGCAAAGTTGCGGTAATTCCTATTATGTCTGGGGGCTCCCAACGCATGGTTAATTCTAGATCTCTTATGAATACTGTGTGCATTATTTGTGCAGGCATTGTAACTCATTTTAACAGGATCTCCTCTCACTGTATGTTTAATGATCTTTTTAGATCCCTGTTCCAAAACTCAACACTTGTCATCAACATCCTGTGTTGTCCTGCCATTTTGTGTTTAGACTGCTTATGATTATTGCCAATACTGGTTTAAAACCTGTCACCTTTCCACTGGGACATTTGTCTAATCCTGTTTCAAGTGGAGCCAACCCCAACTGTACAGGTTCTTCCTATCTCCACAGTATCTTTAAAAGGAATCCCTCTTTGCCACAACTTTCCTTTAGCTACATGATAATTCTCCTGATCTATCTATCCCAATTCCAATTTGTGCATGGCTCATGTAATAATTCACAGATTAAATCTCTAAAGGAACTGCTTTATAATTTAAAGCCTAACTTGCAATTCTTTCAGCAATAGCACCATCCTATTCTTACCTTTGTCATGTGTTGCAACATGAATTACGGCAGTTATTTAATAAGCATAATATATCCTGGAATGAATTTCTTTTGTTTCAAATGCTTGTTGGATATGTTGATCATACTAGTTACTTTATTTCATTATATAAAAATTTCATCAGTCTACAAGTGTTTTTGAGGAACAGCTCGTAAATAAAACAAACTCAAAGTGAAATCTGTTTGTGATATAGGGATATTTTAGTAGAATGCATATACACGTACCGGAGTGCTACTAACTGGAACAAAGCCCGTTTTCCTTTGAGTAGGAGTAAGTAGGTCAGAACCAAACTCTCTGGATGTCCTTAGAGCATTTACTGTTTCAAGCACAGTCATCACCCTTTCCTCAGTATTCTTAATGAAACTTTGTAGATTCTGTAACAAGATGTTAAGAATACATAAATTGGAAAACCTTTTATAAAGAGCACTTTATTTTCAAAGGTGGTGGAAGAGATGCGAATTAAGAATAAGCTTCTTCAATTGCTTAGTTGGTTCCAACTCTATAAAAGCTGATCTAAGGCAGCTATGGTGTTTAGTGAGAAAATCAAAAAAAAAGTTAACATGCAGGTTCAGTTGGCAGTGAGGAAGGCAAATGCAATGTTGGCATTCATTTCAAGACGACTAGAATACAATTGCAGGAATGTACTGCTGAGACTGTACAAGGTCCTGGCGTAAGACGTTTTTAGAATATTGTGAGCAGTTTTGAGCCCTGTATGAAAGGATGGATGTGCTGGCATTGGAACGAGTCCAGATGAGGTTCACAAGAATGATTCTAGAACTGAAGGGTTTATCATGAGTGGTTGAGGACTCTGGGTCTGTAGTTGATGGGAGTTTAGAAGGATGAAGGGGGATCTCATTGAAACTTACAGAATATGGCAGTGTTTGGATAGTGTGGACATGGGAAAGATGTCTCCATCAGTAGAAGAGACAAGGACCTGGGGCACAGCCTCACAGCGAAGGGACAGCCCTTTAGAACTGAGATGGTAAGGAACTTCTTCAGCCAGAGAGGGTGGTGAATCTGTGGGACTCTGTCTCAAAAGGCTGCGAGGAGGCCAAGTCCATGGAGTATATTTAAAGCAGAGATAGCTAGGTTCTTGATTAGTAAGGAGATCAAAGGTTTTAGGGTGAAGCAAGGAGAATGGGGTTGAGAAACATATCAGCCATGGTTGAAAGGCAGTGCAGACACGATGGACCAAATGGCTTAATTCTGCTTTTATATGGGATAATTCTGCTTTTATATTTTGGGAAGGCAGCAACGCAATCACTAATTGAAGTCCATGTTTTTGTCCAAGAGAGGAAAAACCAGCAGCCAATTGTCTGGTGGCTGTACCATTCTTTACCCATGAAGGCGTTTTATTGCCACCCCAGCAACATTGCTCATCTTTACTTCAAACATTCTGTACACAACACGCTAAATTTAAAATCCCCTCAGTCTTTAAACCTCTCCTTGGTTTCAGCTCAACCTACACTAGGTTCACCATCTCTCACTGAGCAAACTGTTTCTCTTATGACAACAAGGTGTAGAGCTGAATGAACACAGCAGGTCAAGCAGCAGAGGAGCAGGAAAGCTGACGTTTCGGGTCTAGACCCTTCTTCAGAAATGGAGGAGGGGAGGGTGATTCTGAAATAAATAGGGAGAAAGGGGGAGGCGGATAGGTGGAGAGGAGACAGACAGGTAGAGATCCACTGAGGTCTTTCCGGAGGGTAACTTCTTCAAGGTAGGCGACCACCTATCTTCTCCTTTATCCATCTTCTATCCGCCTCCTCCTTTCTCCCTATTTATTTCAGAATCCCCTTCCCCTCCCCCATTTCTGAAGAAGGGTCTAGACCCGAAACATCAGCTTTCCTGTTCCTCTGATACTGCTTGGTCTGCTGTGTTCATCCAGCTCTACACCTTGTTGTCTCTGTTTCTCTTATGTGTCTTTTGTCCCTCCACTCCATTTCATGTTCCCAGATCTTCAAATCACATCCTCTTGATCTTGATCAAGGTTTTGATGATCACTTTTTAGCTCAGCTCACCTTTCTAACTCTTATTTGTATAGTGGGATTATATTAAATGCATTGCACAATTGCAATTTGTTGATGCAAGTAAGTGGAACAAGCTGGGAAAATTTCTTGTTTTGTATATGCATTCACTTGGTTCAGTGAAAAAAATAAAATGATACATTTTGTCAGAGATACTGTCTGTCGAATCCTTGAAGTATTCTGTACAAGTCCTCCTATTTAAATGGAAAGTTTATTTTATTCATTCATGGAATGTGGATTTTGTTGGCTTGGCCAGCGTTTATTGCCCCACCTTTGTTGCCCTTAAAACAGTGGGTATCCTTGAGAAAGTGCAGTTAGTAAACCCTTCCATCATCGACTGAGAGTAGATTGATGGGGCAGTAATTGGCTGGATGGGATATGTCCTGTGTGTGGACGGGGCATACCTGGACAATTTTCCATTGTCTAATAAATGCCAGTGTCATAACTATACTGGAATAGCTTCACTAGTTCTGGAGCACAATGTTTCAAAACTATTGCTGGAATGTTGTCAAGGTGCACAGCCTTTGGATTATCCAGGGGCTTCAGCTGTTTCTTGATATCATGTAGAGTATAGCTCAGTGGTTAGCACTGCTGCTTCATAATGCCAGGGACCTGGCTTCAATTCCAGCCTTTGGCGACTGTCTGCGTGGAGTTTGCACATTCACCCTGTGTCTGTGTGGGTTTTCTGAGTGCTCTGGTTCCCTCCCACAGTCCAAAGATGTGCAAGTTAGGTGAATTAGCCAACGGAAATGCAGGGTTACAGGGACAGGTGAAATGTTCTTTGGAGGGTTGGTGTAGACTTGATGGGCCAAATGGCCTGCTTCCACACTGTAGGGATTATTTTCTTACCACATTGGCTCAAGACAGGCATCTGTGATGCTGGAGACCTGTGGACAGGACCTAGATGTATCATCCACTTGGCACTGGTGACTGAAGATTGTTGTAAATGCTTCAGCTTTATCTTTTGCACTGATGTACTGGGCTCTCCCATCATTGTGGATGAGAATGTTTGCAGACCCACATCCTCCAGTGAGTTGCTTAATTGTCCATCACCATTCACGACTGGATGTGGCATCACTACAGAGCTCAGATCTGATCATTTGGCTGTGGAATTGTTTAGCTCTATTACAGGTTGGTTTGCTGTTTGGTATGTGTTATAGCTACACCATGTTGATACTACATTTTAAATATGCTTTGTACCACCTTCAACAAACTTCATTGAACCAGGACTTCAACACAATATAGTTTCAAATATAAGTGTTAATACCACCACCATAACAGCAAGGTAACGAATTTGTTTTTATTATATATTCAGGCTCACTTATCCCATATCAATACCTTTCCTTCACACAAGTGCATAATTTATGACATTGTTGTCAGTAATTTCTATCTTTATATGTCTAAATATCAAAGCTTTAAAATGCTTGGAAGGATTTTTAGACTTTGCTGGGATGAACTGCATACTAAAAGGAGCAGTGTTGGGTTGAACAAATTGTTAAACTGACTGAATAAGAGGGTATATTGAGAACATTGATAAAGCTTAGTGTTGTGTCTGTCTGGAAGGCTACAAATAAGCAAGTCCTTAACGATATTGCAAGATCATTGTAAACACCAGATGTTGTCTGGTAGCATCAATCTGCTTGACCACTGCCACGAGAAATTGAAAATTTATTATATTATTTAAGAATGGGATAAGACTATGAATCCACCTGGTGCGCAATACATGAAATAGACCAGAAGGTTAATATTCAGGGAGCTAGTCAACCTCTTGTCACTCTAGACATGAGCAGAGAGTTAACCTTTCAGTGTGTTGTACTGATGTACTTAGTCTTTGTACTGATGAATATTTCAGTGTAAAACTACAAGTCAGCTTTCAATAGGAAAAAAAATCTTACTATACTGCAAGATTATTATAACAAATAGCGATTTTCAAATATTCTACCTGCACAGAAAGTTTTAGTTCAGTGTACTTTTTCCGCAGATGTCCTTCTTTTGGATTTGCAGAGAAATTGGAAAGATCCCCAGTGGATAGTATAGGAATACCCATGTAACTACTTGATGTCCACTGTAAATTGCTTGCACCAACTAAGACACCTGGTTTGATGATATCTTCCAAAGCCAGCTGACTTAAACCTCCCCAAATCTTTACAGCCACCAGATCCTGATTCTCGTCAGCCAGGTACACAGTTGTAGGTGCATCTGCAACAGGATGTAAAGGATACATTAATTAGCACTTTAAAGCTCCCTTATCTTGCTTCTTGGAATTTGATAACTTTCATGTTCAAAAGCCCGATGCACCACCAGTTAAGGTGGAATTGGGAGGAATTGGGAATAAATTTCCTTCATTGCGTTTGTGCTGTCATGTATGCTGAATATTCTAGCAGTTTAAAATGTTACAACCTATTTGATGCCAAATTACAAGTTTGTTGTGAGATAAGTGTAAAATTTGGGAGGTGTCACTGCAAGCACCCTAGTTCTAGATTCTTCCATAAGACATGTTTCCGGGTCCTGAAAGACTCCATCCTAGGACCTTAAAAAAATGGCTAGATTGGTGATTTATTGGTTTTAATTTTACAAAATTCCTATGATACAGGGAAAGTTCCATTAGACTGGGAAATAGCAAATATAACTTCTTTATTCAAAAAGGGGATACAAGAAAGCAGGAGACGACAGGCCAGTTAGTTTAATATCTGAGCTCTGCAGACCTCACCATTTAGATACCTTTTTTATTCTTACTGCAATAAATGGTCAATTTCACATTTTTCTACATTTGACTCATTTGTCTCATCTTGTTCACTTATTTAACTGATCTATGTCCGCTTGTAGCTTCATGTCCTCTTTGCAACCTACTTCAACTATCTTTGTGTCATCGGAAATCTAGACATGATATCTTCAATACCTCATCTAAGTCATTTATTAAAATAGTAAGAAGTTGAGGCACTAGCAGTGATCCCTGTGGCACATGGTTTGTTACATCAGGGCAACCAGAAAATGACCCATTTATGTCCCTTCTTTGTTTCTTGTTAGCTAGCCAACGTTCAATTCATGCCAATGTGTTACTCCTTACATCATGAGCACTTAATTGCAGCAACAACTTTTGATAATCCAGTTCAGAACACCCATCTTTATCCACATTATGTTACTTTCTCAAAAAATTCTAATAAAATTGATTCAACATGATTTCCCCCTTTCTCTTTCACAAATCAGTTTGACTGTCCCTGAATACCTTGAATTCCTGTAAGTGCCCTGCTATAGTGTGTTACATCATGGCTTACAACAACTTCCCTAGCAAGCTAACTGGCCTGTAGTTTCTGCTTGCTGTCTCCCCTCCCATTTTGAATAATCTTTTGAGACATCCAACATTTCCACTCTAATAAAACTTTACTTCATCTAGGGACATTTGAGAAATTAAAACCGACGCATCAACTATCACACTAGCCATTTCTTTTAAAACCTGAGGATGAAGTCCATCAGGACCTAGGGACTTGTCAGCCTTCAGCTGCATGTTTGCTCAGTGTCATTTCCCTTGTGATTGTAATTTTTTTTCTGAGTTGCTCCCTCTTTTCCAATTCCACACTTGCAACTGTTTCTGGAATGTTGCTTGTATCCTCTAAAGTGAAGGTTGATAGCTTTCCCTCTCACTAAATTTTCCCTACTTATTAATAGAGTCATAGTCATACAGCACGGAAACAGATCCTTCGGTTCAACCAGTCCATGCTGAACATAATCCCAAACTAAACTGGTCTCACCTACCTGCTCCTGGCCAATATCCCTCCAAACCTTTCTTTTTCATACATCCATCCAAACTTTTACATGTTGTAATTGTACCGGCATCCACCACTTCCTCAGGAAGCTCATTCCACATGCAAACCACCCTCTGTGTAAAAACTTTGCCTCTAATGTCTTTTTAAAATCTCTCTCCTCTCACCTTAAAAAGGTGTCCCCTCGTCTCGAAATTTCCCATTTAGGGAAAAGACAACTACTATTAACTCTATCTATACCTCTCATTATTTTATAAACTTCTATAAAGTCACCTCTCAAACTCCTACGCTCTAGTGAAAAAAGTCCTAGCGTATCCAGCCTTTCCCTATAACTCAAACCTTCCATACCCAGCAACATCCTGGTAAATCTCTTCTGAACACTCTCCAGCTTGGTAATATCCTTCCTATAACCAGGTGACCAGAAATGGACACAGTATTCCAGAAGAGGCCTCACCAATGTCCTGTACAACCTCAACATAACATCCCAACTCCTATACTCAAAGGACTGAGCAACGAAGACAAGTGTGGCAGACACCTTTTTACCATTCTGTCATATGTGATGCAAACTTTAAAAAAATTATGTACCTGCACCCCAGGTCCCTCTGTTCTACAACATTAGCCAAGACCCTACCGTTAATTGCATAAGCCCTACCTTTATTTTGTCGTCTTTTTGTCAATCGTTGCAGTTTCTTAAGCTGTGTCAATCTTCTGACCTGCCACCCATCTTTGTACAATTAAATGCATTTTCTGTGAATTTGTTAACATTTTAGTTACTCATGGATTGGGGAGGGGAGGTTCATCCATCCTCTTGGGTTCTTCTTTCTTGTTGGCATGCAACTATTCAGTGAATTTGGAAAAATCCTCTTCAATATTTCCCTTTGCATCTCTATTGACCTTTCCACTGAACCAATTTGCCAGTTTACTACAGCTAGCTCTGTTTTCATGATTACCATTATTTCAGTTTAAAATACTAGTCGAGAACCCATTCCTTCTCCATTAAACTAAGTGCAATATTGAGTTTTATTATGAGCGTTACTACCAAGTTGGGCCTTCACTATGAGGTACAAACAGAAACTGGAGAAATTCAGCAGGTCTGGCAGCATCTGTAGAGAGAAAGCAGAGGCAATGTTTCAGGTCCAGCGATTCTTCATCAGAACCGTTCGCTATGAAGTGATCAATTAATGCTCTCTTGTTGCACAATACCAGCTCTAGCATAGCCTGATTTGTTATGGGCCAGGCCAAACCCCCTCAAAACATGTCAATGAGAGAGCCTGGACCCTAACTTTTTCATATTTTAAAGCCAAGTGCCAGGTGTTACGTTCTGGATGCAATTCGATTAGTCAGACTAACAGGCTTGAAGCAAAACGCAATTTATTCATACACTATAGACAAAAATAAAAAAAAAAGAATTGGCTTAACTGCCACTATCAAAAAACTTAAAATAATAAACTATTTATTAACTGCTCCAATATGGTAATATGCCATGCCCCTTTAAATGTTTATCACTGCTCCAATGTGGATTTTCCTGCAAGTAACTGCTCCTGGTCCACTTTGCCATATCCCATTTTATCTTATTGAAATTCATTCCAATTCAAAACGTTTACTTCCAGTCCATCTTTGTCCTTATCCATTTATTACCTTAAATCTTACCAAAATATGGTTACCACCACCAAAACGAATCACCCTACTGCCACATCCACCACTTGTCCAGCTTCCTTTCCTAAAATTAGGTCCAGCAGCAGTCCTTCCCTTGTAGGACTTTCTATATGCTGGGTTAAAAACCTCTCCTGGCCACATTTTAAGAATTCTACCCCCCTCTAAGCCTTTCACACTTTGGGGATTTCGTATCGCCTATTATTACTCCATTATTTTTACACTTCTTTGCAACATGGCTACATATGTCGTTCTGTCTCTCCCTGATTATTTGGAGATCTATAGTACAAACCTCAAAGTGTCTGTCACTTTTTTTTTTATTTTTAAGGTCTACCCATATGGCCTCATTTGAGGAACATTTGAAGATATTCCTTCTTACTATGGTAATTTGTTCCTTATTCGATATTGTGACATCACTTCCACTTTTACAACCGCCATCTTACCTAACAATTCTATATCCGAGAATGCTCAGCTGCCAGTGTGTCCCTCCATCAATCATGTCTTCTTGATAGCAATGATATCACATCCCCATGTGCTAATCAACATCCTCAACACTCTGCCTTACTCAAGACTCTGCATTAAAACAGATGTCATCCAGGCTTGCCATTCTCCTTGTACCTTTACTCAACTATATTCGCAGTCTCCTAGACTGCTATGATTGCTTTTCTATTTTCGTCTCTGCGTTCCTCTATACCTCCGTTCTGTATCCCATCTCCCAAATTACTTTGAAATCCCACCAACCACACCAGTAGACAGCTGAATCAAATCAAAAGAAGCAGATAAACTAAGTAATTAAAAAAAACTAAAATAATTGATGTCATAATAATTTTAGGTAATTAAATAAAACATGACAGGGCACAGAGAGCTGTGATTGCATAATATGGAAGCTTTGGAGTTCAGAGAGAAAGCCAAATATGCCTTGAGTGTCTGAAATTCCTCAAGTTGCAATCAGTTGCTTGGCTGGACTCTGAACTTTAGACAGTAATGGTCATCAGGGAAGGGGAAAGTTACCTGAACCCTGTTCCAGGAGGCAGTCAATCCCCTTAAGCTAATTGGCACTTCAAAATTCATTGCTGGTTAGGGTTGGGAGGTACGACTAAGTCAGGCATTTCTCTCTCTGCAGAGACTGCCTGCCCTGCTGAGTATTTCTTGCATTTTCTCCGTTTCAGAATTCTAGCATTTGTAGTTCTTTAAAAGTAATCTCTTTACCAAAATAGTCATTCAGTATCCAAGGATACTGATACAACTGGGAAGCTTGCAAAATATTGGACTATCCTGAGAAATTAAGTTAAAACTGACTGAAATAACGTGACCAATGAAATACAGGTAACACACATTAACAAAGTAAGTTAGGAACATGTTATGCAATCATGGTACAAGAGTTTGCTATATATTTGATGTGGTAGGAAATGATGGCAGTGATAACCTCCACAAAATTAAGTCTGAAAGCAATTCCATATAAAAGTAAGTTTAAACATTTTTTTTTCAAAAGCCAGCAGACCAAACAATTGCAGCAAAAGGTGAGAGCCAATATTTGCAGACCCTCTATGGTTAAACGACCACAGTAATAGAACTCGTCTCTTCCATTGGTCTGTAATTACTAGAACAGAGAAAACAAACTCAAATTTTACAAGAAAAGTCTTGCGAGGGAATCAATACATCATACAGTAGAATAGGTTTTCCAATTCAATCGTATTGTATTTGTATTGTTATTTTGAGACATTTGAAGACGCCTTACCCACTGAATCTCTTCATTTGTGTTTATCAAGAATGGGGCAAACATCAGAAAAATTCCAACATGCTGGTTGAAATGGTCTTGAAATAAAACTACGAATAATCATTTACATTTTTTCAAGATTTGTTTGCAGCCTTTTGCTAATTGAGTGTTTTTTTAAAATTAGGACACATTTTAATATATAGCAAACATATCTAGAATTAAAGTTAATACACAAACTTTTTCTTTATCAGGTCATTTCATTAAAAGCTATAAAAAGGTACTTCAAGATGTACATAAATATTAATCTGAAACATGAAGTTTATTATAAGTTATTCGAATAACCCACAATTTTACTTAATAAACCACCACCAACACATGCTACCCTTGCTTTCCTCTTGACTCTCATCCAAGCCTGAAGATGGACATTCAGTTATTATGTTTTACTGGGAATTTGGAAGTTCTGGAAACAACTCTAATTTTTACTTAACCAAATAATCAATCTTGAAAACTGTTCTACCCCATCAGGAATCACCTGGTTCCATAAAAATGAAAATAAACGAATTGGCCTTCTTCAATTTCAAGCTTTAAACCTGATAAAACTATTCCCATTATGTAGTACCTGATTTTCCCAAAACGTGGATCACATATCCTGCTAGGTCCACCTCTTTGCAGAAGGCTCTAAAGAATGGATCAAGGAGCATTCCATAGGTCACTGCCTGCCTAGGTTGATAGAGTTTTCCCAACACTTCGGGAGATGGCTGCAACAAATAACAAAATATATTGCAAAATATCAACACATTTACAGATAAAGAAGACTTGTTAAATTTCTCAAATGCCAATCCAGATTGGTTATAGATTCCGCATTGCAACATCCTATTGGCTCTTAAATGAATTGAGGGTTTTTACTTTTCTGCACTATTTAGAAGTCTGTTCTATGTAAATGATCACCCCACGTGGAAGGAAAATTTGGGACAACGTCAAGAAGTTATTGTTTACTAATTTGAACCTGTGGCCGCACGTCCTATTCGAAGCTCTACTTCAACTTGATTTTTAAAATTCACTATTTCCATGGAATTTATCTTAGATACGTATAACATTATCACAGTATGTTAAAATGCTGGAGGGCACATGGCTAACTGCATCTTTGGTTCAAAAATGCAAATTGAGTAATCAGCTCGGTTATCAAGCATGTGAGTTCAATACCCATTCACACAGCATATCCATGTATTTTCTTCATAGTATTTTATCCAAGAGTACAAAATAATGACAAAGTCGAATACTATGAATGATAGAAATCTATAAAAAAAAGGTTATCTATTCAGTATGTCAAGCAGCATTTGCAGTAGGAAGAAAAGAATTAATGCTTTGATTCGCCGATTCTCATCTGTTAAAAATGTAACCGTTTTTATGCAAGTGCAGTGGGTGGGAAGTAAAGAACAAAAAAGGGATTTCTATGGTAGGTTGAAAGGCAGGAGTGATGAAGTAGGTAGTGATGGGACCATTCGATTTGATATCAGATCTGAAGCATGGTGGGGGGAGAAGATGCATTTGGTGGTGGAATTGCATTGGAGATGACAGAAATGGGGTTAAGAATGATCATTCAAATGTGGAGGCTGCTGGGGTGGAAGATAGACATGACCCAAACTTGTGTGGGGAAGGACGGGGAAGGAAGAAATGTTGAAAGAGAGCAGCAAAGCACAGGAATTGGGACGGGAAGAGCTGATGGCCGCATTAGCCCCAGTGGGCTGAAATCTTCAAAGACGACATAAAGCAAACAGTGATTTTTTTTTTAAACTCAGAAGAGATTAAAAAAAGCACTGGATAAACCAGAAGAATTGTATAGGGGCCTGACAAGAAGCAGGGTGTGAGGAATGTAATTGAGATAGCAGAGACTGGCTTCCAGCCTACACACAAATGGAAACAGAAACTCAAGACAGGGAAGAGAAGACTAATACATGGAATATGGGGAGTTGAAGGAGAGAAGCTGTTGGAAGAAAAGTTGATGACATTTCCCAATCTGAAACAACAGCAGGACTTCAATGTACTGCAGAAAGAGATAATAGAGGGGAGAAAGATAAAACCATGAATGGCAGGGTCAAACTCTCAGTTCCGATGAAAGGTCAAGAATTGAAACATTAACTGTTTCTCTCTATAAAGGCTATTTCCAGCAGTTTTTATTCTAATTTCAGGTTTCCAGTGTGTGGTCAGAGTATTTTCGTTTTGCATCATAATTACAGTAAAAATGTATTTTCACTGGAATGCTTTTTATTTGCAGTGAAAATGAAAAGCTAACTGTACAATTTTTTTTTATTCATGGAATGCTTTTCTTTTATGGGTACTGGTGGTAGACGCTTAAAGTATTTCTTGTATTGGAAGAATTGAAAATGTTTTACCTACACCAATCTGCTCAAAAAATCCCTCTTAGATGCTTCTTTTCAAGGCTGAAAGGACTAGGTTTTTTTTTAAACAGTCTTTCATAATAAGTTTGACCTCTAACACAAAAGATTGTTTATTGGAGGTAGTGAAGTGACCAGATCTGAAATCAGTACTCGAGATATGTTCTGAACAGAGTTAGTTTCACCACAATATTAAGAGGATCAAATATTTATTACATTCAAAATAAGTACTTCACAATATTTAACAGAATTGGGTATATCAGTCCTGTGCATCAAGCCATCAAGTTTTTGATTCTGAATTATGTAGTTTTTCTCTTCCACATTTGTCAGCCTAAAATGTTCAAATAATCAAGATGTTTTATAACTTAAACTATAAATCTACGAGACAAAAAACCTTTAATTACTCTTGACAACAAATATTACCAAGAGGTCTATTGTTTTCGACTGTTTGTTTCCGTTATTGTTTAATTTACACAGGAAGAACTTCATGCAATATGCTCAACAAAGAACATGAAATACACTTTCAATTCAATTCGTTTTAATTATCTAATTTACCTGCAGTTGTCGGTATCTAGTTTTCTTTGTAGCAGTCAACTGCAAATCAGCATGGTTTAACCGATTCTTGTATGATGAGGTTGTCAAATAATGGATATGATACCTTGAACCCTCCATCAGGAGGCAATGTAGTTCAGCAACTGGGCGCCAGATATTTAACATGTAAACTATTTTGGAAGAAAAATGAGTGAGCTTCTATATGAAAGTTCACAAAATAAAAATATTTTAGTATATATGAGGATAAAGTTACATGAATCTATATGTTCTAAGAAAATATCAACAATATTATATTTCTTTTGCACCAGCTAAAGCAGCAAATGACATCACAATGGACCGTGCAGGAAAGAAATCAAAATGGTAGAAGGCCATTTTCAACCATCCAGACTGCGCAGGTCCTCTGAAGAGCAATCCAGTCAGTCCAATTACCCCATTTTATCTCTCCCATACACTAGTACAGATATTTGGATTGCATCTGGGGTATTTAGATATACATAGAAGAACAAGAAAATTACATCAATATCCTCAATAATAACCCCTTTATCTAACATAAAACTAAAAACGACCAGGAAAGTATAATTGTGTCAAGGTGCATGCCAGATTCTTTATTTCAAGATAAGTAGGCTCATCCATCTAACAACAAAAAAAAGTCAAGGAACTCAGCTGCTCAAAATCAGAAACACAAACAGAAATTGCTGGGAAAACTCGGTAGGTATGGCAGCATTGGTGGCAAGAAACCACAGTTAACACTTTGGGTCCAGTGACTCTTCTTCAGAACTGATTGTAGCTAGGAAAAGGTTGGTAGATATGCTTAACATCGGGTGCAGGAGGAGTAGGAGCAATCAATAGAGCCGAGAGACAGACAGAAACATTGTTGGGCAGACAAAGGAATGGGTAAAGTTCAACCTGGGAGAATCAACAGCAGCTATGTGGACCATTAGCAACTGACAATGGGTTGGCTATGGTAGCAGCCCATGTGATGACTAGGGCCAGGCATGTGGGGGTTGGGGTAAGGACATAGAAGGTTTCCAAGCCCTAAAATTATTGAACTCAATACAGTCCTGAGGGTCGCAAAGCAGAAACTGAGATGCTGTTCTTCCATCTTGTGCTGAGCTTCACTGCAGCAGGCCTGAGACAGAGATGTTGGCCAGAGAACATGTGAATAACTGAAGTTGTGAAAGTCTCAACTATTTTTTTTCCCTAGATGTGGAACTGATGAAATAAGTTTATGCAAGTTGCTATTTCAAGCACTCAAAAGTACATTTACTTCAGTTTAAAGGGCTAAATGCATTTTGATTTTCACAAAAAAGCTCCTGGTTATTGAAAAAAGAACTTACTTTGGAGAAAAATAAAACATTTAGACATTATTTTAATAGGGGTGTTGTGGAGAAAATAAAATATCTAAAAAGAAAATAAAACAAAAAGTAAAATGATGTGGATGTTGGAAATTCGAAACAAAAATAAAAATGTGGGAAAAAACCCTGCAGGTCATAAAGCACTTGTCTGGTGAAATAGGTTTCTGATGAAATGGTAATCAACTTGAAATGCAATCTCTCTTATAAACTAAGCAAAAACCAATGTCTGAACAGGTAGGTGGGTGTGAAAAGAATAAACTAGTTAACCCATCCACTTCTTACCAATTAGTCTCTCTGGTAGGGAAAGGCGGACCACCTATTAAGGATCTATTCCTAGTACTGGATTTTAAAAGGGTTAACATTTTAGAAAGAGAACATTATATATTTGATGTCAGTGTGGCCCTCTCCTCATTGGGCTATCCAAATACTGTTTCAAAAACAAAAAAAAAACACCCTCCTGGACACACTCAATAAATCGCTCCTCAACCAGACCCCCGGCACCAAGGGAGTTCCAGTCAATGGTTGGGTCAAGGATAGTTAAAATCATCGACCACAACAACCCTGTTATTTTCATGTCTTTCCAGAATCTGACCAGATGTATCTTCATCTATGCCCTACTAGGAGTTGGAAGGTCAGCAGTACAATCCCAGCATTGTGACTGCACCCTTTCTATTCCTGAGCTCTATCCATAATGCCTCACTGCAAGATCCCTCCAGGGTGACCTCCCTCAACACAGCTGCGATATGCTCCCTAACCAGTAATGCAACTCCCATCTCTTTTGCTTCCTCCTCTGTCTCATCTAAATCATCAGTATCCTGTAATGTTAATCCCGTTTACTAAAGAAGTTGAATCTCTTGTCAAGAGGAAGAAGGAGGCTTATGTAGAGATGAGGCGTGAAGGCTCAGTTAGGGCGCTTGAGAGTTACAAGTTAGCCAGGAAGGACCTAAAGAGAGAGCTAAGAAGAGCCAGGAGGGGACATGAGAAGTCTTTAGCAGGTAGGATCAAGGAAAACCCTAAAGCTTTCTATAGGTATGTCAGGAATAAAAGAATGACTAGAGTAAGATTGGGGCCGGTCAAGGACAGTAGTGGGAAGTTGTGCGTGGAGTCCGAAGAGATAGGAGAGGTGCTAAATGAATATTTTTCTTCATTATTCACACAGGAAAAAGACAATGTAGTCGAGGAGAATACTGAGATACAGTCTATTAGACTAGACGGGATTGAGGTTCATAAGGAGGAGGTGTTAGCAATTCTGGAAGGTGTGAAAGTAGATAAGTCCCCTGGGCCGGATGGGATTTATCCTAGGATTCTCTGGGAAGCTAGGGAGGAGATTGCAGAGCCTTTGGCCTTGATCTTTATGTCGTCATTGTCTTCAGGAATAGTGCCAGAAGACTGGAGGATAGCAAATGTTGTCCCCTTGTTCAAGAAGGGGAGTAGAGACAACCCTGGTAATTATAGACCAGTGAGCCTTACTTCGGTTGTGGGTAAAGTGCTGGAAAGGATTATAAGAGATAGGATTTATAATCATCTAGAAAGGAATAATTTGATTAGGGATAGTCAACACGGTTTTGTGAAGGATAGGTCGTGCCTCACAAACCTTATTGAGTTCTTTGAGAAGGTGACCAAACAGGTGGATGAGGGTAAAGCGGTTGATGTGGTGTATTTGGATTTCAGTAAAGCGTTTGATAAGGTTCCCCATGGTAGGCTATTGCAGAAATTACGGAGGCATGGGATTGAGGGTGATTTAGCGGTTTGGATCAGAAATTGGCTAGCTGTAAGAAGACAGAGGGTGGTGGTTGATGGGAAATGTTCATCCTGGAGTTCAGTTACTAGTGGTGTACCTCAAGGATCTGTTTTGGGGCCGCTGCTGTTTGTCATTTTTATAAATGACCTGGATGAGGTAGAAGGATGGGTTAGTAAATTTGCAGATGACACCAAATTTGGTGGAGTTGTGGATAGGGTGGAAGGATGTTGCAGGTTACAGAGGGACATAGATAAGCTGCAGAGCTGGGCTGAGAGGTGGCAAATGGAGTTTAATGCGGAAAAGTGGGAGGTGATTCACTTTGGAAGGAGTAACAGGAATACAGAGTACTGGGCTAATGGTAAGATTCTTGGTAGTGTGGATGCGCAGAAAGATCTCGGTGTCCATCTGCATAGATCACTGAAAGTTGCCACCCAGGTTGATAGCGTTGTTAAGAAGGCGTACAGTATGGTAGGTTTTATTGGTAGAGGGATTGAGTTTCGGAGCCATGAGGTCACGTTGCAGCTGTACAAAACTCTGGTGCGGCCGCACTTGGAGTATTGCGTACAGTTCTGGTCACCGCATTATAGGAAGGATGTGGAAGCATTGGAAAAGGTGCAGAGGAGATTTACCAGAATGTTGCCTGGTATGGAGGGAAGGTCTTATGAGGAAAGGCTGAGGGTCTTGAGGCTGTTTTCGTTAGAGAGAAGAAGGTTAAGAGGTGACTTGATAGAGACATACAAGATGATCAGAGGATTAGATAGGGTGGACAGTGGGAGCCTTTTTCCTCGGATGGTGATGGCTAGCACGAGGGGACATAGCTTTAAATTGAGGGGTGATAGATATAGGACAGATGTCAGAGGTAGGTTCTTTACTCAGAGAGTAGTAAGGGCGTGGAATGCCTTGCCTGCAAAAATAGTTGACTCGCCAACTTTAAGGGCATTTAAATGGTCATTGGATAAACATATGGATGATAATGGAATAGTTTAGCTTAGATGGGCTTCAGATTGGTTTCACAGGTCGGCGCAACATCGAGGGCCGAAGGGCCTGTACTGCGCTGTAATGTTCTATGTTCTATGTCCCTCTTTCAACCATGTCTCTGTGATAGCAGCAACATCGTAACTGCATGCAGTTAAATTCATCTGTTTTACCTATTATACTCCTTGCATTGAAGCAAATACTGTCCAAGTTTCCTGTTCCACTGAACTCAGCAACCTCTCCCTGACTCCTCTTCCTCCTAGCTATGTTTGCCTTAGCCTCAATCTCTTCCTCAGTCTCTATATACTTAAGTGATCTGTTTTGCAACACCTGCCACACTTGTTTAAACGTTTTTGAGTGGCACTATCAAACCTCCCTGCCTGGATATTGGTGCCCCTCCAGTTTAGGTATAACCCACCCTCTTGTACTGGTCCCACCTTCCTTGGAAGGCACCCCAATGATCCACATATCAGAAGCCCTTCCTGCACACCAGCTCTTTAGCCACAATTCCGTTGTTCTGTCGGTCCCTGATCCTAGCCTCAATAGCATGTGGCAAAGAGAGTTATCCTGAGATTACTACCCTAGAGATCCTGCTTTTTAAAGTTTACTAACCAACTCCCTGAATTTTGTTTTATTCAGTCATGTAATTGTTCACTAGGCCAGCATTTAACGCCCATGCCTAATTCCCCAGAGGGCAGTTAACAGTCAACCATGTTGCTGTGGGTCTGGAGTCACGTTGTCCAGACCAGGTAAGGATGGCAGTTTCCTTCTCTAAAAGGACATTAGTGAACCAGATAGGTTTTCTGACAATGGGTTCAAGATCATCATTTAGACTCTTAATTCCAGATATTTACTAAATTCAAATTCTACTATCTACCACACCAGTACTCGAAACTGGGTCCCCAAAATATGACCTGGGTCTCTGAATTAACAGTCCAGCAATAATACCACTAGGCCATTGCCTCCCCTTAATTGTTGTTGCAGGACCATCTCACTCTGCCTACCCATGTCCATATTGGCACAAATGACAATGACTTCTGTCCATTCACCCTCCCATTTCAGGTGATTAGTAATGGCATACATCAACTGCAGCCTCCCAGATTGCTTTGATCTACTACAATTCGCCTACCGTCACAACAATCCGACAGCTGATGCCATCTCCCTGGTCCTACACTCATCCCTGGAACATCTGGATAAGGAGGACACCCACATCAGGCACCTATTTATTGACTTTAGCTCCACCTACAACACCATAATTCCAACCAAATTCATCTCCAAACTCCAAGACCTAGGAATCTGCTCCCCCCTTGAATTCCTGACACATTGACCACAATCAGCAAGGATAGGTGACAACACCTCCTCCTCAATAATCCTCAACATCGGTGCCCTGCAAGGCTGTGCACTCAGCCCTTTACTCTACTCCTTATACACTCATGACTGTGGCCAAATTCTGCTCTAACTCCACTTGCAAGTTTGCTGATGGCATCACTGTAATGGGTTTGATCTTAAACAATAAGACAGAATATAAGAAAGAGATAAAGAGCTTAGTGGCATGGTGCTAAGACTATCTCTTGTCAGCAAAATGAAGGAGCTGGTCAACTTCAGGAATTAGAGTGGAGGATACACCTGTGCCCGTATCAGTGGTGCTGAGGTGGAGATGATCAAGGGCTTCAGGTTCCGAGGAGTAGATCTGTCCTGGTCCATCCACATTGACACAATGGTCGAGAAAGCACACCAACGCATCTACTTCCTCAGAAGGATAAGGAAATTTGACATGTCCACAATGACTCTTACTAATTTTTATAGATGCAACGCAGAACGCATCCTATCCAGATGAATCACAGCTTGGAATGGCAACTGCCCTGCCCAAGATCGCAAGAAATTACAGAGAGTTGTGAACACTGCCCAGTCCACTATCCAACTTTCTTCATTGACTCTGTCCATACTTCCTGCCAACATAATCAAAGACATCTCCCACCCTGGATGTACTCTCTGCCACCCTGTTCCACCAGACAGAAGATAACAGAAGCTTGAAAACATATACCAACAGATTCAAGAACAGCTTCTTTCCCACTGTCATCAGACTTTTGAGTGGACCTCTCATATTTTAAAGTCAACCTTTCTCTGCACCTTCCCTAGTTGTAACAATATATTCTGCATTTTGTTCTATTACCCTAATGTACTTATGTAAGGTATGATTTGCCTGGCTGGCACACAGAACAATATCCTTCACTGTATTTCAGTATATGTGACAATAATAAAATCAAACCAAAAATTCCACTACACTTGTCTTGACTTGCACCAATTCCAGTTCACCCATGCTTATTGGCCTACACCAACTCCTGATTGACTAATACCTTGATTTCAAAGCTTTCATACTTGCTTTCAATGCCTCCAAGCTCTTGTTTTTCTCCCATCTCTCCACAGCACTGCGAGTTATTCATGCTCCTCTATTATTAGCCTCGTGTTATCCTGATTTTGATTGTTCTAGTTCTTTAGATGCCTAGACTCCAAGTTCCAGAAATCCATCCTTTACTCAAATTTTCTTCACAACCTACCTTTTTATTCAAGCTAATGCCACTGCCTTATTAGCACCTTAAGATGGCTCACTATCAAATCTTGCTTTTTAATACATTCCTGAAAGGGTCTGGCTCGTTTTATTGCATTAAAGCACAATGCAAATACAAAGCTGCTGCTGCGGAAAATTACATATTCAATTTTAAAGCGTCTGCAAGCAAACTATTTCCCAATGTTTTCAAAATATGTTTTAAGGGCTATTTCCCATAAAATAATTGGAACTACAGAAACATATGGTCACAGAGTATCTCCTGTGAGCATGAAGTTGATAGCTCGTTTTGAAGCTAGTGCAGCTTATCACATTTCAATTTAGGTGCTGCATTATTAAATTTTGCTTGGAAAGATCATAGATTGATTTAATAATATCCTTTCTGAAAGTTAAGTAAACAATGATTAATATTCGCATCCAATTCGTATCGAACTCACCTGCATTACTGTTCTGATTTTTGTAGTCCACAACGCTGAGTTTCCACACAGGACTAACATCCCTTTTTGTGTAGCTGTTTTCACGTTGAGCACTTTCTAACGCTTTTTTGAACTCGGCCTCGATCTGGGCTTGTTTTTGTTCGTTCAACAATTGTCTATAGTTATTCAGGGCTCTCAACTGTTGTTCATTTAAATAGCCCTGCAAGGCAACACAACCTATGTAACATATTCAGTATTCTAAGGAAAAATGCACTGGACCCGAGAAAGAACTCGGGTAATAACATTTTCAATGTGGTCGTGTGCGCCAAGCCCAAAACACTCTCAAAACATGGCCATTGAAATCGGTGAACTCCTTGCTGCAAATATTCAAATAGAACATTATCTGGAAATGAAGCTTGTTTAGACTGCTGCCCAAAGAAACTCAATCCCATTCTAACCATAACCATAAACAGCGTTCAATGAAAACAAAAGATGGCCAACAACAGAAACTATCACGATATCCATATCTTTCACATTTCTGTTTCCAGAGAAATGTTGAGGAAATGTCTGGACAGCCCAAAGAACACTTGAACCCTGCTCCTTAAGATTTAACAAGATGTATAGAGTGTCAGAACATTTCCAACAATCTATGTACATAGACTGCATATTTATTACAAGTTAATAGGAAGGAGGTATTGGGATAGGTTGCCAACACTTCAAGTTGATCAAGTACCATGGCTATCACTCAGTTGTAGCAAACTGCTAACGAGTCTAAAAGAACTAAACAGGATGGACCAATCAGGATCAAGTAGGGTACCAAAAACAATAATGGCAAAATCACCCCTTCTGAGCCTGCAAAATCTTCCTTGGGGGGGTTGCGCCAAAATGACAGGGGATGGGGGCTGTGTGAAGTTTTTCCACAGATCAGTTGAACTCACTATCATACATCATCATCGTTATCCCTGGCTATGTTTTGTCTTATTGGCAGGACAAACCAGCAGAGATAGTGGCACAGTGGTATAAAATCAGGAGACAATTACCCTGGAATTCCCCATCAACTCCAGACCACGAGATTTCATGGCATCAAACACAACCAGCACAATTTCAAGAAAGGAAAACAGTGTCTGATTAATTTATTAATATTTTTCGAGGAAGTCTCAAACAGAGTGTGTAGAGGGAAGCCAGTAGATATGTTGTATTTGGTCTTCCAGAAGGCATTCAACAGGGTACCTCATAAAAGATTAAGTCGTAAGAACTAGAAGCAGAAGTAGATAATTTAGTCCCTCGGACCTGTTCCACCATTCAATACAATCATGAGTGATCTCACCACGACTGTACCCCATAACATTTCAATCCATTACTAAATAAATATGTCTATCGCTTCCTTAAATTTTCATAATGTCCCAGCATTCACCATTCTCTGAGGCAGTGAATTCCACAATTCACAATTCTAGTCTGTTTTAAATCTGTTACTTCTTATCCTAAAACTATGAACTCTCATACTTGCCACTCTAACGCACCACCCTGTTCCCTGGCCAACATCTGTGTCTCTGGCTTGCTGCAGTGTTTCAGTGAAGCTCAACGCAAGCTGGAAAAACACCTCATTTTCCACTTGGGGATCCTGCAGCCCTCCGGACTCAATATTGAGTTCAATAATTTTAGGGCCTAAACTCTCCCATGTCCTAGCCCCCTAGCCCACACACCTGGCCTTGTTACAACATAGCCTGCTATTACACACCATCTGTTGTTAGTCACTAATAGCCCCCATTAACAACTATTCAAACTCCCAGCCTGATTGTTATCAACTTTTTGTCTGTCCAACTGCTCTTCTCTCTCTTTAGGCTGTATCCTATTGTTTACTCCCCACCTCATCTCTCCCTCCCCTTTTTTTTTTGCATATAAACTGACGTTTTCCCAGCCAACATCAGTTTTGGGGAAGGGTCACCGTAGCCGAAACGTTAACTCTTTTCTTTCACAGATGCTGTCAGCCCTGCTGAGCTTTTCCAGCAACTTTGTGTTTGTAACTCTCATTCTAGATTGGCTCATGAGGAAATATCCTTTTCATGCCTACTTTGTCAATCCCCTTTAGCATCTTACATACCTCAATTAGATCTCATTCTTTTAAATTTCAGGGAGTATAGGCCCAAACTGCTTAATCTTTCTGAAGACAAAGCCCTCAAGTCTGGAATCAATATAGTGAGCCTCTTCTAATCTGTCTCCAATGCTTCTACATCCATCAAGCAATGGGACCAAATTATACACAGTACTCTAGATGTTATTTTATCAATGCAGCAACATGTTGTTTCTTTTATACTTTATTGCTAAAGGAATAGATGCCCAAAATTCCATTTGCCTTTCTTATTACCTGCTGTAACTGCAAACTAGTTTTTTGCAATTCATGCACAAGGACACCAAAATGAATAACCTTACGCTTATCTATGTTAAATTTCATCTGCCAAATTTTGGCCCATTCACTTAACCTTTCTTATTTCTTCATTACTGCTTAACTTTCCCACCTATTTTAGTATCATCTGCAAATACGGCCATAGTACTTTCTATCCCTTCATCCAAGTAATTAAATATAGATTGTAAATAGTTAGGGCCTGAGAACTGAACCCTATGGCACACCACTAGTTGCATCTTGCCAACCAGAAAAAGACCCATTTCCCCATACTGTTTTCTGCTGGTTAGTCAATCTGCTATCCAAGTTAACTAATTACCCCTCACCCCATTAGATTTTACTTTGAGTATTACCCTTTTGTGCAGCACTTTATCAAATGCCTTCTGAAAGTCCAGATAGTCCACATTTATACAATCTCCATTATCCACATTGCTTGTTACATCTTCAAAGTCACAAAATACTAACTAGTCCATGGTACTGGAGGTATATTGGCATGGTTAGAGAATTGGCTCATGGGGATGAGGAGTTCTTTTTCAGGTTGGTGACCTGCAACCAGTGGAATTCCATGGGGATTGGCAATGGGATCGGCAATGGGATCACAACTGTTTACAATTATATTAATGACTTGAAGGAAGGAAGCAATTGTGCTGTAGCCAAATTTGCAGATGACATGAAAAAAGGGGTGAAAATCAAATTGCAATTTATGGAGATTTAATAGGTTAAGTAAGTGGACAAAAAGTTGGCAAATGGAGATTCATGTGGGGAAAATGTAAAGTTTGTTCTCTTATTCATTTTGGAAAGAAGAACATTTCATTTAAATGGGGAAAAACTGCTAAAATCTGCATCCGGTCAGGACATGGAGCCACTTGTGCATGAAACACAAAGCTAGCATGCTGGTAATCAGGAAAGCTAATAAAACGTTGGCCCTTATTTCAAGGGCGTTGGAGTATAAGAGTAGGGATGTCTTCCTGCAACTGCACAAGATGCTGATGAGACAAAATCTGGAGTACAGTGAGTAGTATAGAAACAAACTTTCTACATCATTACTTCATTCTACATCATTATTTTTTAAATTACTACATCATCAATTACATGTTTCCACACTATTTCTCATTTTTAATGGAAATGCAGGTAAAATATGTAAAAAATATTTACATATGTCTAAAATTCAATGAACAGACACACTGCAACCTAAATACTTGGGAATTGTCTTCACTAAGGAGGACACAAATAACTTTTCAGAAGTGTAGGGGAACAGAGGGTCAAGCATGAAGGAGAAACTGAAGGAAATTCTCATTAATCAGGAAATGGTATTGGGGAAATTGATGGGATTAAAGCCCAATAAGTTCCCAGGGCCAGAAGCTGTGCATCCCAGAGTACTTAAGGAAGTGGCCTTAGAAATGGTGGACGCATTGGTGATCATTTTCCAGCATTCTATAGACTCTGAAAGAGTTCCAATGGACTGGAGGGTAGCTAATATAACCCTACCTTTTAAAGGAGACAGAAAATGGGGAATTATAGGCTGGTTAGCCTGACATCGGTGGTGGGGAAATTGCTGCAGTCAATTATTAAAGATGTAATAACTGATCATTTGGAAAGCAGTGACAGAATCGGTCCAAGTCAGCACGGATTCACTAAAGGGAAATGATGCTTGACAAATCTTCTGTAAATTTTTTAAACATGTGACAGTAGAGTGGTCAAGGGTGAATCAGTGGATGTAGTGCATCTGACTTTCAAAAGGCTTTTGATAAGGTTGCACAATAGAGATTAGTAAGCAAAATTAAAGCTCATGGAATCGGAGCTAATGTATTGACGTGGATAGAGAACTGGCTGGCAGACAGGAAGCAGAGAGTTAGAATAAGCGGGTCCTTTTCAGAGTGGCAGACAGTGATGAGTGAGGTACTGCAGGATTCAGATCTGGGACCCCAGCTGTTCACAATATACATTATCAATTTGAATGAAGGAATTGAATGTAATATCTCCAAATTTGCACACAACACCAAGCTGGGTGGCAGCAATATGCTTGTGAGGAGGATGCTAACAGGTTGCAGGGTGACTTGGACAGGCTGCCAAATGGGCAAATACTTGGCTAATGCAATATAAAAATGTGGATAAATAGGAGATAACCCACTTTGGCAAAAACAGGAAGGCAGATTATTATCTAAATGGTGACAGTTTAAGAAAAGTCACTGAACATTGGCATGCAGGTGCAGCAGATGGTGAGGAAAGCTAATGCATTGGTGGCCTTGATAACAAGGGGATTTGGATATAGGAGTCAGGATGTCTGGCTGCAGTTATACAAGGCCTTGGTGAGGCACACCTCGAGTACTGTGTGTAGTTTTGGTCTCCTGGTCCAAGGTAGGTAATTCTTGCTATTAACGGAGTACAGTGAAGGTTCACCAGACTGATTCCCGGGCCTGACACATGAAGAAAGGATGGATCGACAGGGCTTTGACTCACTATAATTTAGAAGAATGGTTGGGGAGGGGTGTTAGAGATCGCATTGAAACGTATAAAATCCTGATGGGACTGGACAGGCTATTTGTGGGAGGAATGTTCTCAATGTTGGTTAAATCCAGAACTAGGGGGTCACAGTTTGAGAATAAGCGGGAAGCCATTCAGGATGGAGATGAGAAAGAATTACTTCACTCAGAGTTGTGAACTTGTGGAATTCTCTACTACAGAAAGCTGTTGGGGCCAGTTTGTTAGATATATTCAAGAGGGAACTGGATGTGGCACTTGCAGCTAAAGGGATCAAGGAGTGTGGAGAGAAAGTGGGAGTGGGATACTGAAATTGCATGATCAACCACATGCATATTGAACGGTGATGCAGGCTCGAAGGGCCGAATGGCCTACTCCTGCACCTATTTTATATGTTTCTACATTTCTAAAAGCACCAAATTTCTTAGAAGCCAATAAAACAGGCATCAATTCTGCAAATAAAGCCATCTCCAATTTACTAGTTATATTTCACATTTTACACAAATGCATTTCATATATCAAGAACAAAATCAGAAGTTGCTGGAAAAGCTCAGCTGGTCTGGTGGCATCTGTGAAGAAAAAAAACCAGAGTTAACGTTTCGGGTCCAGTGACCCTTCCTCAGAACACCGCATTTCATATATCACTGTTTGAAATACTTCCAAAAGCAATTACAACAGAGATTATGGCAAATATTGTAACTTGCAATATAGGACTAGTGTTCTCCCACAAGTTTTGGGAACTCAATGGTTCACAGTATTTATTACCAACTTCTATGATGAAACAGAAAGCATGCACCCAAGCTGGCTCTTAACACCAAGATTAATAGCATTGTAAGAAATTTAGATGCAAATATAAAAATTACAGAGAGATTTTCTGAAAGTTGAAGGATGATTTGTTTGAAGTTTTCAAGCTAATAGGGATGACAGATAGTGTAGGTGAAGAAACCTTTATTTTATTTTCCAATCATTCGTGGGATATGGGCACCAGTAAGCCATCTCTTACTGGTCAGAGGGCAGTTAGTAGTTAGCCACACTGCTGTGATCAATACTATACAAAGTACTCCAGATGTGGTCTTGCCAATGCCTTGTAAAACCAAATAATAAGTTCCTTACTCTTGCATTCAATTCCCCCTGTAATCTACCATAACTTCTACTAGTTTTCCTGAAGCTACACATGTCCTGACACAGTGGAGAGTATGCCATCACACTCCTGACTTGTGCCTCATAGTTGGTGAAATAATCATAGAATTATTCAGCCTTTGACATGATCTTGTAGCCGCAGTATTGAAATAGCTGATCCAGTAGGTTTGTCAATGTGGTTCCCAGGAGGTCTATGATGGGGTGTTCAGCAATGGTAATTCCATTCAATGTCAAAGGGAGGTGGCATATTCTCTCTTGTTGGAAATGGTCAGCATCTGGCTTGTATGCTACAGATGCTACTTTTCACATAGCTAAAGCCTGATGACGGAAGAATGTCATTAAAGCTAATGATAGATGATGGTTGGGATGAGATCAACATAATTTTAAATTTGAGACGGATAGAATTTTGTTAAACAAAGTTATTAAGGAATATGAGACATAGGCAGGTTGTATGGAATTAGGCTGTTGATTAGCCATGACAGATGAGGGGTGAAATAATGTATGCCTAAAACTCATTTGTAATATCTTAAAATATATAAAATAAGGAAGAATGGATAAACAGTTTCCCCTGCCCCAACATAAAGATAAATTGGTCTCTTCCCAGTGCGTTGAGCCATGTAGCTGTCAATCTAGACAAACCCTTAATAATAAGGTCATGGTTAACCTAAGGTTGCAGCTATTTCATCCATTTACCCCCCACACAGTGGATACCTGAGCAGTATTCTAAAAGGAAATACCATTCTAAACATCCAAACAACATTCCAAAATACTGATTGTAGGGAATGAGTTATATGATAAATACACATTTAAGACAGTTGAAAATACACGCTTGATTACCTCAACAGATAATGGATCTGAAGAATTCTGAATTGCTTCATACAAATCTACACCATCCTGAAGCATCATGATCTGTTGGTCACTTAACTTCTGCACTTTGCGTTCTCTCTTTTTCTTTTCGTCAACTTCAAAACAAACATTTTACTTGTTTAACATAATTTTAATTGATTATTTATTTTTAAAAATCAAGGAACTAATTACATTTTCGTTGTCAGCAAGGACATAAAATAATCAAAGAAAAAGATGCTGAAAATACCATGTGGAGAGCGAAACAGTTAACTTTTTAAAATTCATTTATGGAATGTTGGTGTCACTGGCTAGCATTCATTGCCCACAGGGCAGTGAAGAATCAACTGCATTACTATGGGTCTGGAGTCACATGTATGCCCAACCAAGAAAAGATGGCACAGATTTCCTTCTGTAAAAGACATTAGTAAACCAGGTGAGTCTTTATCCCCGACAACAGTTTCATCATCAGACTCTAGATTTTTTTTTATTGAATTCAATTTCCGCCATCTATCATAGCAGGATTGAAACCTGGGTCCCCAGAATATTACTGGGTCTCTGGAATAATAGTCTTGCAATAATACCAATAGGCCATAGCTTCCCCCTATCAGATTGATGAACTTCAGTGTCTGCTACTCTAAGTACCGATCAGAATCTAAATTTTTGATTAGGGTCTAATGTATCTTCTTCCGAGTTCAGCATTACCATAAACATCTTGAGGTTCACTACTGACCGGAAAGATAACGGAACCAGCTACACAAATGCTGTGATTATAACAGCTCTGCAACCCATGATGACTGACTTCCTGACTTCCCAAAGTCTTTCTTGTCTACAAAGCAGATATCAGCAGTGTGATGGAATACTCTCCATTTATTTGGATGATTGAAGTTCCTTAAACACTAAAGTTACTTGATACCCACCAGCCCAAAAACAGCCCACTTAAATCTGCAGCCCTTATACTTCCTTAAATATTCAATCTATACCATTGATGCATTTCAGCTGCAGTATATAACGCCTACACTGTACAATCTAACAACTTGAACTTTCTCCTTAGGTACCACCTACCAAACAACCAATTTCCACTCCATAAGGAGGACAAAGGAAGCAGGCCGTACGTGCACTATTATTTTCAAGCTACACACCATCCTGACATGGAAATGTATTACCACTCTTTCTTTGTCATCAAAATTCTGGAACTCCTTACTGATCAGCACTTTCACCATGCATGGATGAAACAGTTTAACTGTGGAGGTGAGGTGAGTGTGGTTGGCCTTGATATCAAAGCCGCATTCAATCAAGTACAGCATCAAGTAGCCCTAGCAGAAGTGCAATCAACGGGATTCATATTCGGCTCAAAAGGCATTTATGGATTTTATTGAATGTCAATATCTCAAACCCAAGACATCACTGTAGAGTTCCTTAGGTAGTGTCCTAGGCCCAAGCATCTTCAGATGCGTCAGTGACCTTCCCACCATCACAGTGCCAGAAATTGGGATGCTTGATATGATGCACCATGTTCAGCACCAATCAAACTCGTCAGATACCGAAGCAGTCTGTGTCCATATGCAGCAAGTCCTGGACAATACCCAGACATGGGCGGATAAACTGCAAGTAACATTTGGCATCACATAAATTCCAGGGAATGACCACCTTCAACTTGAGAGTACGCAACTGTTGTCCCTTGATGCACATTGGCATTACCATAGCTAAATGCCCCACTATAAACTTCCTGGGAGATACCATAGGCCAGAAGCTGTATTGGAACAGCCACATAAATACCATGGCTCCAAGAGCAGTTCATAGGTTAGGACGTTTGCAGTAAGTAACTCAACTCCCGTCTCTCCCATGCATGTCCATCATCTACAAGGCACATGCCACTACTGGTGCAACTCCAACAACACTCAAGAAGCTCAAAACCACCTAGGAAAGATCCTGACACAGCACTGTAGATGCTCCTATGCTCCAAGGAATGAACTAGTTCAAGACCACTGTTCAGCACCATCTTCTGTGGGTCAATTGGGGATGGTCAATATATGCTGACATAGCCAGAACTGCCCATATCACATCAACAAATTTAAAAAACCTATGAACCACAACAGTTTAAGAACATGCTTCACCGTCACTTTCCACAATGCTGATGTTGTCAGTAACACGCACATCCCTTGAGTAAGTAAAAGTTTATGAATATTAGAGTTAATGGCCTTTAGAGTGACACAGCTTCAGATAAGCATCACATTCTCCAGGCCCCAGATTTATCAGGCATACTGCCATATTGCAAGTCCAAAAAAGATAATGGTTTAGCACAGAATGCTAATTGCCTGTTATTTCAACATAAGAGACAACTTCAAAAATATAACCGTAATCTAGAAAGGATTATCTTCAAAAGAAAAAAAAGTCTTCCAAATCTAATTTCTTTACCACAATTTGCAATAATTTGAAACAGTTAACGTGTGGAACAAAATTCAATTGTCATCGTATTAATAAAAACCTGACCTGTTATGTTCAAAGATATCATTATAGAAGTTCAGTGTTCTAATTACCTCGATATTGTTCCTGCAGTTCAGCCTCAGTTTTGGCATACAACAGTTCCAGCTCTCTCTGCTGATTTTCATAATGTATCCAAGCCTCTCGTTCTTCAGCCCGTTCCTTCCGGAATATGTATGTTCCGTTGGATTTCTTTTCCATCCACTGAAGAAAAATGTGTCTCTCATCAGAAATACAAACTATACAATAGAAAGTGCATTGTGTATTGGCTGAGAAAAACTCTGGATCCACAGCAAGCAGCAATTGCTGAACTAAATTTATTTACACCTCCCCAGAGAGGCAGCAATGGAGGGTAGTATAGCAAAATGCTCAGCTATACAATATTACATCCCTCCTGACAGCAACTCATGTATATGTACCATTTTACAATTTACATTTTAATGTAAAAGTTCCCAGCATACAATAAGACTAAACCAACACCAACAATGCAAAAAATTTTTAGCAGATTGCATCTATGATTTTATAGTAATCTCAGTCAAACATTTGGTGATTTAGGAGAAATTTCTCCCTTAATATTATTATCTGTTCAAAAAAAAACATAATTTGGCAAGAAACCATGAAAAGAATGGCATTTCAATTTTTCCTTCCTGCATACCTTCAATTAACCCATTTAGGTATACCTTTGTGTAGAGCTGGATGAACACAGCAGGCCAAGCAGCATCAGAGGAGCAGGAAGGCTGACGTTTCGGGCCTAGACCGTTTTTAGCTTGCCTGCTCTCTCAAAACTGCGACTGTCAAAACTATTTGACCCTTCAAGCCTGCTCCGCTATTCAATACAGTCATGGCTGATCATCCCACTCAGTACCCTGTTCCCACTTACTCCCCATACTCTATGATTCCATTAGTCCTAAGAAAGATAAAAACATAGAATACAGGAGCAGAAGTTGGCTCTTCAAATGCATGCTAAACAGCAGATACAACATGTCACAAAGCCAAGCAACCACACAATCAATGGGACATGTAATTATGACATGGTAGAGGACAACTAAAACTTAATGGGAAGAGAAGCAGGGTACATGAACTCCTATTCCCAATGGTAAAATTCAGTGTAAAAGATAAGCTGAAGTATTCCACCCATTTTCAGCTAAAAGTGATGATCCATCTTGGCATCCTCATATGATCTCGACCATTACAGATCAAAAGCAAATATAGCACCTGTACCTTGGGTACCTTTAGACAAGTCGTTTCTATACATTGTAAGAAGGTGAGACCTCATCATTGATCCTTGTGGCACATAACTCTCATTTTATCTGGACAACTTGACAATTTTTTGACTATATCCTGTTAGCCAGTCAATCAACTATTCATGAATTTTGATGCAGAATTTTATCAAATGCTTTCTGAAAATTTAAGGACAGCATATCCACAAGTTCCCTTTTATCCACAGCATGTTACACCTTCAAAGAACTTCAATAAGTTGATAAAACATGACTTCCCTCTAACAAAACCATGTTGAATTGATTACCTTTGAACTTAAATGACTTGCTATAAACTTTCTAATAATAGCTTCATGCTATTTCCCTGTGAAGATGCTAAATTAACTGCCCTGTAGTTTCCCAATTTGTGTCCTTCCATGTTTGAATAAAGGAGTCACATTGCTATTTTCCAATCTGATAGAACATGCCCAATTCAAGGAGATTTTGGAAAACTGAACCCAAAAACCTATTCAGTCCCTTTTTTTTTTTTTTAAGGCCCTCATACAGCAATAAACTGTCCACTGTTACCCAGTTGGGTTCCGTCAGGACCTCTTGACTCCTGGCCTCATTGTAGCCTTGTGCAAACGTAGACGACACAGCTAAATTCAAGAGATGAGGGACAAATGACTGCTTTAGACATCAAGGCAGCCTGTGACTCTGTGGGGCAATATGGCTCTAGCAAAATTAAAACCAATGGGAATTAAGGGGAAACCTCTGTATTGGTTAAATGATAAAAGATAACATTTGAGACTGTTCGGGAGGCGATGGCCTAGGTGGTATTATTGCTGGACTATTAATCCAGAGACCCAGATAACACTCTAGGGACCTGGGTTCGAATCCTGCCACGGCAGATGGTGGAATTTGCATTCAATAAATATCTGGAATTAAGAGTCTAATGATGACCATGAATCCATTGTCACTAACGTCCTTTAGGGAAGGAAACTGCCATCTTTACCTGGTCTGGACTACATGTGACTCCAGACCCACAACAATGTGGTTGACTTTCAACTGCCCTCTTGTCAGTTAGGGATGGGCAATAAATGCTGCCTAGCCAGCGACACCCTCATCCCGTGAATGAATAAAAAAAACTGTTGGAGGCCAATCATCTCAGCACAGGATATCGCTGAAGTTGTTCCTTCAGTAGTGTCCTGCACCTAGTTATCTTCAGCTGCTTCAACGATCTCACCTTTATAAGGTCAGAAGTAGGGATGATGACTGATGAGTGCACAGCATTTAGAGCTGTAGAGCACGTGCACTCTGTTTGCGACGAACGACAACACCTTCCGGTCGCAAACCATTTCAACTCCCCCTCCCACTCCCTGGGTGACATGTCCATCCTGGACCTGCTCCAGTGACACAATGACGCTATCCAGAAACTGGAGGAGCAACACCTTATATTCCGCCTTGGGAGTCTACAGCCGAATGGCCTAAATGTAGACTTTACCAGTTTCAAAATCTCCCCAACCCCAGCCTCATTCCATGACCAACCCTCCCTCTCAGCCCCACCTCCTTGACCTGACACAACCTGTCCATCTTATCTCCCATCTATTTGCTCCTCCCACCTCACTGACCAATCCCTACTATTGCCTACGTGCATTCACCTATCGCCATCCCACCTACCTTCCCCAGTCCCACCACTCTGCTCTATTTATTTCCGAGCTCACTTCCCCCTCCCTGAAGAAGGGTCCTGACCTGAAACGTCAACTTTCCTACTCTCTGATGCTGCCCGGCCTGCTGCGTTCCTCCGTCTCCACACTTATCTCTCACTCCTCTCAAGCAATTTATCAAAATGTACATAATGATATCTAATAATATTAACTGATAAGTCTTCATCTACAAAAATATTTCAATTAACTCATTTTACTGCATAATCTTCCATACCTGTACAGGATAAATTCGAACAACAATCACATCAACACAACCAACCATTCCACCTTCATTAAACAGGGAAGATATTGGTAATGGGAAAGGTCGAGGATTACGATGAAATCCTAGCTTAGCATACCATCGAGCTGGTCTGGTACCATTGGCTGAAATCTAAATCAGAAAGCATGGATTATTATATTGAAATTTAACTAAGCAAAGTCGCCATAGTCCTAGAGGACGTAGCACTGCTCTCGCATGAGAGAGAGAGAGAGAGAAAAAGAGAGCGAGAGAAAAAAAAGAGAGAGCGAGAGAAAAAAAAGAGAGCCAGAGAAAGAGAGGAGACAGAGGGGGGAGATGACTCGTGGCGGTTTAACCTGAACATGACCATGCTTCAGACAGAACCTTCTTAGGTAACCTCAGCAGATATGGAACCTATGTCCCTGGTGTCAGTCTGCGTCGCAAACTAGTCATCCAGATAACTGAACTAATGACCCCCATGTAGTATTATGTACAACAGTTTAGTTTAACTTATTTGCATTGTTTAAAAAAAATCATTTAGGCAAACTAATCATCTATTTGTCATTATTTATTTCAAAAAGTGCAATGACAAATAAAATTACCTTGCTCACAGGTGGTCAACTTAAATCATATTTTTTATCATATCATACCACTAATATTTAGCCATGATTTGCTCCTTTGTAATTAAGTTGGCATTTGCATGCAAGAACTTTTCATTATAGTTTGGAAATATTCTAAAACAATGGATGTCGAATATCAGATTCAAGCTTTGGAGAGATTTAGTAATCTTCACAACTGCAGAGAAGGTAAACAGGATATCCTGGAATCCATGTACTAGTAGACTGAAGATCTATGAAGTGTAATGGTGTACTATCTTTTGGGTCAAGTGGAAGATAAAAATTGATGTGTATTGGTTAGGCCAAGTGGCCTGCTGAATGCTGTACATGTTTCAGCGGAAGTTACATTGAGGGAAGATGATGGCATAGTGGTAACGTCACTGGAATAGAAATCCAGGAGGCCGAGGCCAAGGCTAAGGCTCAAAAGGACAGGGGTTCAAATCCCAACATTACTGATAGCTGCCATCAGCTGCAATGATGGCCATGATGCCAAAGCCATTTTTAAATTTTAAAAAAACCTTCTTGTTTACTAGTGTCCTTTTAGGAAGGAAATCTGCTATCCTTACCTGGTCTGGCCAGCACATGACTCCAAACTCAAAGCAAAGCAATGTGACTGACTCTTAACTGCCCTCTGAAACAGCCAAGTAAGCCATTCAGCTCAAGGGCAATTATTGATGGAAAACAAATGTTGGCCTTGCGAGTAACAGAGAAAAAAAAAGAAACAAGAAAGAAAAGAATGTACCACTAACATTGCATATCAATTTAATGAAATTCCCTAGCAACATTCATAAGATGAGTTTTGTTCGTGGGATTTGGGTGATTGCAACAAAATGAATGTGTTGGAAGTTAGAGTCCACAATGTAATGTGACTGGAGTAGTGAAAGCAGATTCCTTTCCTTGAAGGATATTAATGAATCAGTTGCATTTTTAAAATAATCCAGAAACTTTCCTTGGAAAGGCACCATAAACACTGAACGCACACTTGTGGGATCTATATGTGCTATTGGTAGTAACTGGCCAAAGTCTAAAAGTTAAACCATGACGTATTGTCAGAAGTTACACAACACCAGGCTATAGCCAACAGGTTTATTTGAAATCACAAGCTTTTGGAGCGAAGCCCTTCAATGGGTGATGTATTGTAATAGAAAACAACTCAGAATAGCTGGTTGTACAGTCTGATGCAGCTTCTGCAGGCTCTACCACACTTGGGGCAGAGGGTAGTTGTGGAAAGGGTGGGGTATTGGTGTGGCAGTGCACTCCTTACGTTTTTTTTTCACCTGGCTTCCGCTTTCTCCCCCGCGTTGGTAATCCAGAGGTGCTCCATAAGAGGCACTTTAATGGCCACAGGGAATATGTGCCCACCTCATTCACTCGGAAGTCAGTCTTGTTCTTTACGTGCAGTTAGCAATGACATGCTGTGAAACCCAAGTCTTTTGATGCTTTGGTGTTCACAACATAGGATCTGCAGGTCTGAGATCAGTTTATGTTGGGGAGTTTTCCTCTTTAGAGCTTGATCTATTGTTAAACCATCTACATAAAAAGTGCGTGTGGCTGCTAAAGATGATAGCTGGTACTCGTTCTGCTGAATTTGCTTCACCTCTTTGTCAAAAGGTGGAAGCTACAGCTTGAACTGCAGATGCTGTGTTATCGTAAGTCTGGAGCAAAGTGAAACTAAGGTGAACGAAGACCAAGATGGGTGAAGTGATTTTGATGAAATTGATAATCACCTGTCAAGCACTGTCTGAGAAGCAGTGCTTTGAGTAACAGCTTCTCACTTGGCTCTAGCTGTAGTTCTTTAGTTTCCCTGACCATCCTTCCCAACCTGTCACTTTCACTGAAGTAGTATTTCCCATTATCCACTTGTCTCAGTGACCCTAAAGACAAGTTTAGAAATAGGTCTGCTGGTTATTCAAGCCAGGATCCTTACCTCAAGGAATCTTATTCGCTATTTAAACATTTAAATGACTCTCCCAATTGGTCCAAGCTCTTTCCTCAAACCTAGGTTCAGTTAGGACAGGATGACATTAGAGTTCTAATCTTGACATCGTTTTTTGGGGATTCAGTTCCATTCATGCACCCAAACCTATCTCTCCTGAAAATACATGTATTCTTTCAGTTACAGTTACTGGATTAATTGGATAAACAGAATAAGACTTCAAAAAGTGATGCTTACAAATCTCTCACAGAGAAAAAAATACTTATCAGAGTGTCATAAAACAATGCATAATTTAAAATGTAATTATTACAAAAATGTGTTCAGCTGTCATTATTTATTATTTTTTTCCTTACCTTTATCATGAGTGATTCTGGAGCTTCCAGAGGTGTACAAGCATCCTGTGACCCAATAAGTTCTGCCCCATGGACAACAATCTTTTGACCAACTACAAGTCTTCTTTTCTGCAAAAGTGATGTGAGTGGAAGATCCAGAAGGGCCTTAATTCCATACCAGCCATCAGTGACTTCAACAACTCCCAAGCGCATATCCTTCTTTGCTTCTATGACACACTTCTCAGATACAGTTTTAGACTGTTTAATTGTATCATCAAGATCCAGGTTACTTTGGGATGATTTTACTCCCATTGATATTATCTTAGAAACACAAACCACAAGTGTTTTTGCTGGCACATCATCCCTTTCCATAATTTTCTTCAAAGCAGATCGACGACACTTATCAATCTCTACATCATACCTACAATACCAAAATAAGAAAATTATATTTGCAAAACTTAACAAATTTGAATGGCAACTCAAAATTTATTGCTTCAAAACAAAAACACTTATTCAAAAAAATACATCCTTATATTCTCTCTCCACGTGCTGGAATAATGGAAGGAAGATGGAGGAAATAGTTCCATGCAAAAGATTACTGGAAATACGAAATCATGAGAATAAGTGATATCGGGGTGGGAACCACTCACTTGTATATGCAGGATTGAAATTTTTTAAAGGATAATCCCATTTTAGCTGGGTAATGGAGGATGTCATAGAGAAAGTCAGGAGGATGTCATAGAGAAAGTCAGGATGTGGGATAAAGCATCAGGGCCTTCATGGCAGAAAATGGTGCTTGCAATTGTTAGGTTTTTACTTCACTTTTGTAAACTTATCACATTACATTAGATTCCTGCAGTCAGTTTAAAGTTGATGTCAAAGTGAAACTTCAATTCAGATTTATTTTTGATCATTAAGGTAATATGGGGGTACAGATTAATATGAATGTTAAAGGTCCATGTAAATAAAGGTTCCTAAAAGAATAAAATCTGTTAATCTAAATATCACCTACCTATGGACATTCCAACAGTAGATAAGGACCTGCTTTAGAACACTTGAATTTGTACTCTGGGATGGTCATTTAATTACTTCATTTCAAATTGTTTTACCTGAACAGTTAAATCGCACAATTTATCTCATGTCTCAACAATGACTCCTCTTCAAGAGTAATTCAGTGGATATGATGCATTTTGGAACATTTTAAGGACGCAAATGGTGGCATGCATTTGGAAGTTCTTAAGGCTTTTAAAGTGTTGTGCAACTGGAACAAGGAAAAAAAAATACATTTTCACAGAGCAAGTAGGGTATTGAATGAACTCCCACACTCAATTGCTGCATTCAATTGAGGCATTAGGAGAGCATTGGATGATTACTTGGATAGAACTGGTTTGCAAGGGTATGGCATGAAGGTAGGAGATGAGAACCAGGTAGCAGAACTGGTGTCGGCATTACAGGCTGAACAGTCTCCTTCTCTGCTGTAACAATTGTGATTCTTTCAAATTAAGCAAATTTTTTTTTTGGGAAAAATATAGCCACACAAAGTTCTCGCTTAGAACATGGAATGGCATGGCGAATTCAATTTATAACAACCTACATATATACAGTCCCTTGATAATGCAGTTCAATGTGCTAAAGCAGTGAAACGTTCCAAGGCATTCACAGGTGCATCAAACAAAATCTGACACAAAGGGATAGTCAGAGATAACCAAAAGTTTGGTTAAAGAGTTGGACTTTATTGTATGTGTACCTTGCCTTTAACAAAGTTCACCTTTAAGGACTCCATGTGCTTTTTGTATAAAATATTCTGACTCTGCCTGGAAGTTAGTCTGGTCCGGGTTTGCAAACCCTACAAACAGAAATCAGTTGGCTTGCTGTTGTGACAGCTTTATATCTTGAAATGTGTTTCATTTAGTTAAATAAACCAACCCATGGAGTTAATCAATCCCTAATGATAATTATTTAAACACTAATCATTAACATTTCAGGTTTCAAGAAGCATCTTAAAGTAGGTGAGAGCTAGATAGACAAGTTTAGGGAAGAAAGTCTCATGCTTTGAGCATGGATACTAGACTGGTCAAACAATTAAAATTGGGAAAGTACAAGAGAATGAATGTGAAAGTATGCAAAGATCTCTGCGTGCTGCAGGGTTGGAGGCGGCTACAGAGGCAAGAAAAGGCTACAGAAGGACTCGAAACACAAGAATAAAGATTGGAGCATTTTGGACTGGGAACTAACATAGGCCAGCACAGCGGGGGAAAACAAAAATCAATAATTTTTTTAAAAAAAAACTACATAGCAAGAAACAAGACATATACACTAAAGTGGAAGAGACTACACCTGTATTTAAGATGCAGAAGAATTGTTTCTGGTGTCAGGCACCTGCCACCAAACTCTTTGGGGAACGCTGTCTCCATCGCTGCAAATTTCCACACTAACCACTTATAATGGTTGTAAGCCCAAGCTTCACTGATTAATCTGGGATCTACACCAGGAGAATCTAAAAGAGCTCTTTGGTGGGGGCAAAAAAAAAAGAACTGATCAAATTAGAGTACACCAACAGACCACATGATTAAGTTTTCCAGGGACAGTTCTCAGTTGAGATACTGCAGTCCTGGTATACAACATCTCTGGAAGAGCCCGAGTAACAAAACCCATCCAAAATATCCTAGTTTTTAATTTCTCACATTTGTTTATCATGTAAACGAGGTAAGCACAGAATTTATTTTAAAAGTCACTAGTAATAAAGGCACCTTTTAAAGGTTTAAATATTAATAAATGAAACTGGAAGAAATATCCAGATTATTTGTATGTTTTATTATTACTGTTGGTTCTAACAGATAGTGCAGCATTACTACAGTTGCTTGTGCTACAATGTTGACTCAACAGCATGACTCAGAACACACACAATAGGACACTATGTTGTGAGTTTTGCAAGCGCGGGCTGGTTGGTGCAATCAATGTCTTATTTGTATAAATAATCAAAGGGTCATGTCTTTTCATATAATCCATCAGTCTTTGAGACATGCAGCTAAATATCCAGCAGACACTGGCACCGAAATTCATACACTGCATTGCACATTTGTCAGATAAGTTATGTTATACCACTATTAAAGATAAGATGGAGACAAAGCACAAGTTGTAGGACAGTTAACGTAACATTTTTGTCATTGGAAAAAATGTTACAATCCATTGTTGAGGATGCAGTAATATGACATATAAAATTCAGATTACAGAGTCAACTTGGTTTTATGATCCATAAGCTGTATTTAACAGTATTGTTGGGTAGGGTCTAACGTAGATTGGCAATGGGATGGGATGTAGAAATCTAGTGAGTGACTCTGAAAGGCAGAGGAGCAGAGACTGAAGTGTATTTTAGCGGGAGCAGTGAGAGCGAGGACGAGGGGGCTGCCGTGAAGGTAAATTAATCATTTAAAAGCTTACCTCGTGGGATCAGCGGCCTCCATTTTTGCAGCAGCAGCGGGAGCAGTGACAGCGAGGACCAGAGGGCTGCCATGAAGGTAAGTTAATCCTTTAAAAACTTACCTCCTGAATAGGTGGAGCGCACGTTGAGCAGGAGTGGACACAGGATGGCTGAGTAAGTGAGGTAATATATTTGGGCGAGACAACAAGGTGCAGAGCTGGATGAACACAGCAGGCCAAGCAGCATCATAGGAGCAGAAAGGCTGACGTTTCGGGCCTAGACCCTTCATCAGAAA